CCTCCAGGGATGGTGACTCCACCACTGCCCTGGGCAGCCTCTGCCAAGGCTTGACAGCCCTTTCAGGGAAGAAATTTTTCCCAATATCCATCCTCAACCTCCCTGTTGGATACGTTGATTTCCCCTTTTGTCTGTGTTTGATCCCATATACTGAAAAGTCTCCCAGTTTTTTGGTCATAAGAGCATTCTGGAGTCTTTTTCTATCATGAGGCACAAAAATAGTTGCAGGGCTATGTAATTCGGTGTGGCACTTTATTTTTCTTCCATCTCTGCCCTGAACTATAACCTGGCAAGTAAGACTCACATAAAATGATTCAAAGTAACCCAAAATGTACTATTGTTGGGGATTTTTTCCTCTCTCTTATTAGCTGGTAGCACAGAACCACACTAGGAGCCTGCTGAGAACAGGCATTATTTTAGTGTCTTCCCAGCATGAGTCTAGTCAATAAGGAAATCTGTGAATCCAGCTTGCAGTCCTTTTTTTTAAACAAGCAAACTGCATAAATTAAACCAACCACGTCCTGTTTACTCAAATCACTGAAAATGCCAGGCTCTATCATTTCTCTGGAGTGGCCTTTTTTTTCCCCCCATAAACAAGGAGTGGGGCTGCATTAGGTCAAGATAAAACAAAGCAAAAATCTTTTAAAAACTTAAACTGAGAGCAGTGGGGTCTCTGTCAGGGTGTCTGTGACAGCAACTTTATTCAAAAATGCTCCTTTTCTGCGTAAAAGAGGAACTGGCATCGGGGGAGCTCTGGGCGCTGTTGATTCATCCCCAGTTGAAAGTCCTTGAACCCTTCCTTATGGTAGAAGAATACATATTGCATTTGCCTTTAGTGGTGAGAGCGGTGGTGGAGGTGCAGCCAGGAGCTAAGGAAGGTAAAAGCTGCATTGGAAAAAATAAAGTTACATAGGGATTGGCCTCCTGGGTTACTAAAATATTAATTTTATCAGTTTTTATCGGTTTTCATGAGGAACACCAGAATATTGCAGCGCTTGGTATCTGTCTTCAATCAGCTGGGCATGAACGTGTGTATGTAAGGTGGTTTTTTTAATTTCCTTTTGTGTCTTTGGTAATGAGAATACTGCTGGATTCTGCTTAATTATTCCCCTTTTCATTGTTTGTACATCAGTGTTGGTTTTTTTTGTCTAGATGAGCAATTTGCTTTTATAGACATTGCTTTGAATGAGCAAACTTTTCTCGGTATAATAATCTTCCATTTTAGAAATGGAGCAAATCTGCTTTTTTAGCACCAGTTTGTGCTTCAGACATTATTTCATAGGGAGTTTCAGGGAGTTGCCAGGCTTGAGCCGGTTGACTGGAGAAAAGCAGATTACGCAACTTTGACATTTTGGGTTTTATTGCCAGCTGACCAGTCTCTCCCACGTTTTTCTTCTATTTTGTATAATTTAGAAACAGGTTTCCAAAAGGATACACTTATGTTCCTTATACTTTTCATTGCATTTCTCTCTTTTGCAAAAAAAAGGAGGAAATTTGCAAAAAAAAAAAAGGCACCAAATACCTCTTCTTTTAATATATATCTACAAGTCAGGGGTGGACTGTATTGATATCATCTCACTGTTTCCGAAACGCCCCTTGCAGTGACTCACACATCATCCCCTGAGGAGTGAGAAGAACATTTCAGAACTGAAGAAGCTCTGGGCTGGGGCTGGAGAAGCTGGCAGGGAATCCTAGCTCCGGCCCTATGGAAAAAACCAATCTGTGGAATAAACATTTTTCTATATTACTGTATGTAAGCAGCTCACCACGCCTGCTTTGTACAGATATAATGAGATTTGGTTGTTGTTTGTTTCCAGATGGGAGAGAGTTCACAGAATTTTGCTTCTCCTCCCTCATTTTTGGAAAACCACGAAGTGTGGTGCTCAGATGTATGTCCTGCTCCTTCCTCCCAGACCTCCCTCACCTTGGCCTCATTGATTCGGTCGCTTCCAAAGTTTTTCAAATTATTTTAAGGCTATCTTGTTTTTCCGCTTAAGAAGGGTTGCTGTGATTTTTCTTTTTTTTTTTTTTTTTTAATATGCCTCCCAGTTTGACTGTCATTGCCGTATTAATCTTTTAGAAGTTTGATGCTACATTTTTAGTTGAGGCAAACCTCCAATCAGTGAGACACACTGATTAAAAGTTATTTCAATTTTTTGTGTATGTCATTAAATCATTTTTTTAAAAAACAGGGGAAGTCATAATTCATAAAACAGAAGACGCTGTAGAAGCTCCTAACAAAGGCCCTGTGACTGACACAATGACCAAAATAGTTCTGTGATTGTGTTTTGACCTTTTTTTTTTCCAGACAGCATTTGGAAAACCTTTGTCTCTGTTCTCTCTGGAGAAACGAGTAACCTCCAGGAGCTGTGGAGCGCACCACGCGCTTAAACACTGAGAGTTCCTTTTTTTTCTGGGTTTGTTGGTGGTTGTTGTTTTGTTTTCTTATTTTAAATGCTGAGATGGGGTTAATGTCCTTCATAGGGGTGGGGAGGGAGGAGGGAGCAGCCGTGTGGTGCCGCAGGGCTCAGCCCAGGGCACCCAGATTTGTCCCAGGCACAGGGAAATTGGAGGAAAGAAGTGCTGGAGCATGTGTGTCTCTGTGTTTGTGTGTAATTTTCCTGTTTTATGCAATATTTTCCCAGGCCTGCAAAAAATGGAATATATTTAGGGACTGGAAAGGAACAGCATAATAAACGCATTATAACTGCTATGCACAATTTGCATTATAAGGAGGCTAAATGTAACACAAGTCAGAGTTCTGACAATGGCAAAATAAATAAACAAATTACTTTGAGAAGTGCTGTGCTTCAGTCAGAGGGCTGACGAAGGGGCTGGTTTATAGATGGTAGAGGGGAAGGATGTTTCATTTCATACAGACCATGGATGTCCCATGTGGACCTATGGCTGAATTCAGCCTGGAGACACAGGGGGGGTGTCCAAGAGCCTCTGTGCTCCCCTCCGGACTCCTCCAGCATCTACAACTGTAGAGTTTTTCAAAGGTAAAACTCTTTTTCTCTGCTCGGTCCTTTTACAGTCCACTTATGGACCTGTCATCCACCACAGTGCCTTCAACCCTTGGTACCATCTCTCCCCATGGCCTCCTGTGTGGCAGGAGGTCACTGAGTAAAGAACATTTTTTTAGTTCACTTCCCGTCAGTTTTATCAAGCGCCTCCAGTTCTGCACTCAGGGTGAACCGTGGTTTTCCACTCATTGTATCCATCACCTTCATAATGTTCTAAGCTTTGGTTGTGTAGCCCTCAGCTATCACCTCTCCAAACTGGAGTCTTTCACATAGAAAACCTTAAGCCTTTCTGGTCTTAAGGTCCATCTCCTTCGTTCTGGCTGCCCTACTCCATACCTTCTGGAACTCCAAAACGTCCTGCAGAGACCATAACTCAGTACTTCTGAGGGTGTGAGTGCATCAAAACTCTATGTGGTCAAAATGATGTGCTCTTTAAGCATCCTTCCTGGTGATCTCCACCATTTCCTTGGCTTCTGTAGGAACTGGCTACGAGCTGTTAGGAGCTGAGGGCTCAGCAGTCAAGTTCCAAAGGCTTCCTTTTCATTTCCAGGGCTTACGAGCTGTAAGGAGCTGAGTGCTCAGCAGTCAAGTTCCAAAGGCTTCCTTTTCATTTCCAGGGCAGGTGTGAGATGATGCTCACTTCAAAAGGCCTCTCGGGGCTTGCTTTAGATCCATGGCAGCCTCCTGGCAAAATGCTGCTTTTTCACGCGCCCTTACCCTCCCCTCTCTCACACTGGCTTTTCAGTTCCTCAAAAAACAGCCATGGAAGAACAGAATAATGTAGCACTTCTGCATTTTATGCCTCTTCCCTGTTTCAACTAGAACAAGCAGAGAGGTCGGGAACTGTCTTGAATGAACTCGATTATTTTGAATTGGTGTCAATCTGACTCCTGCGGTTGCTGTGTTAACCTCGACGTATGTTATACCGTTATTCTCTTAATTTCTGAAGTTTTATTATGCAGAATGCGAGGAAAATACTGTAATGCAGCAGTAAGTGTTGTGTGGTTTAGTTGAAGATGGGAGATGAGTCAGCATTGTGTCCTTGCCACAGCACAGGTGCACCACGTGATGGGTGACACCAAGAGAGCTTCACCACTGAGCCAAGGGATGGAGATTGTTTCCCAAACAATCCTCCTGCCTCTGGAGCACTGTGGCTGGGTCTCCTCCAGTGCTGCCCTGCACAGGAGAGGTGTTAAAAAGTGGAGAGGACCTGGCAAAGACCTGCTGAAGTTGTGGCAGGGCTACAGGAGGACAATCGTGGACAGGGGAGAGGAGCTCAGCTTGGTGTGGCTGGAGAAGGTCTAATGGGGAGCATAATTGCATCATCTCGCCCTCAAAAGTGCAGTGACAGAGACAATGGAAATAAAATCTTCCGAGGGGTGCACACTGAAGGGACAAGAGGCAACATGAGAAGCTTCTACAGAAGTGTGAAATACAATACCGTTGCTGTGGGACTGGTTGAGCAACTGGGTGGGTTGTCCACAGAAACTGGAGGCTTTCAGGGTGCGAGTGGATGGGTCCTGCTCTAACTGTGCAGCTCTCCTGCCTCTGGCAGGTCTGAACAGGCAGCGTCCTACTGACCTCAGTTTTGTCTTTGATTTTGTACTTTTGAATAGACGGCGAGAGGCTGTCAAAACGTGTGCCTTGTTCTCTCAGATTTCGGGCTGATCCAACCTCTGCCCTGTTTACAAAGAGAGGATTTTAGCAGGAAATCTGGACTTTCAGCAGCCTTTCCCTGCTGTCCTCCTGGACGGTAGCACTGGGAACAGCAGTGGCTGTTCTGGGCAGTGTTCATGGGTCACCGCTTATCAGGGACTTCTCCCTTCTTGCTTAACATATATTTTAAGGTACTAGATTTAAATGAATATAGGGTCATGAATTTATGCGATTTCCTGCTGTTTCTCTGTGTGTATATCTAGGATGACAATGAAGTGAATTTATGTGATTTCCTGTTGTCTCTGTGTGTATATCTAGGATGACAATGAAGCCAACAGACTCATGCCAAACAAAGGAGACCATGGACTAGGAAATGAGAAGTTCAAGCCTGTGGTACCTTGGCCTCATGTGGAAGGTGTGGAAGTGGACTTGGAATCCATTCGGAGGAAAAACAAGGCCAAAAATGAACTCAACCATCCTCATGGTGGCGGTGAGAACAAACAGCAAAACATCATCCAGAGACAGTATCTCACGTTCAAGCCTCAGACATTTGTGTACCGAGATCCTGTTCTACGACCTGGAGTCCTTGGTAACTTTGAACCCAAAGAGCCTGAGCCTCCCGGAGTTGTTGGTGGCCCTGGAGAGGAAGCGAAGCCATTTGTTTTGGGACCAGATTACAAGGAATCCATTCAAGCCAGCATTAAAGAGTTTGGGTTTAACATGGTGGCCAGTGACATGATCTCACTGGACCGGAGCGTTAACGACTTGCGTCAAGAAGAGTAAGCAAACTTTTTTTTTCTCCTTTTAGTTCTGTTTTTACAGGATTTAATTGTTTTCTTTCCGTATATCGATGGATATATATAATCAATGCTTAAAGTAATCTTATTAATTAGGTCAAATACTTAAGGCTTCTCGTCCTGACAGGCAAGAGTGCTCTACTATAGCAAATGTTTCAATATATTATTCTTAATGCTGTTCCAGTTGTTCCTTTCATGAACATTTAATCTGTATTGATTTATCTCTAATTAGTGTCTAATTGCATGTACTTGCGTGTTCCAGGTCCAGCCACAGTCTTCATGGTCATATCTTTTCTTAATTCATAACTTCTTGAGACTTGTGTTTGGGAAAGAATGTTTTTTCTTTAGTGTGTCTTGCAGACATTCCTATACTACTGTTAGATTTTTCAGTTTTGGTTTCTCTCCAATGCTTTTAAAAATTAAAAAAAAAAAAAGAGAGAACAAACCAAAAGAGATATTGTTGCCTTTAAAGAGCTCTGCTTAATTACCTGCATTAACAGAAGTACAGATCTGCCCTAGTTGTGTTTGGGATCTGGAGCTGAGGGAATAGTAGACATTCAAGTCCAGTCGTTCGATTGGACTGTTTTTGTTGGTTTGGTAGAACTTCATTTGCTCTTGCAGCGAGCTTTCTGCCTGAATTAAAATATTCATTTTAACTGCAACTACCAAGAACTGGATTTATCGCTCAGCAGTGACCTGGAGGAGAGGGTGGGCAGCTCAGATCCCAGCACAGATACTCACGCTGCTATAGTCACAAATTCCCTTAAAAAACTGGAATGAAGAGACAGTTTTTCCCCTTTAGCAATTATTAATCGAAGGGACCTTCCATCGTACCCTGCCATACTTTGACAAAGATCTTTGCTTGTAAAGAACGCCAACAACCTCACCAAGAGCTTTGGAAATTCAGTTACTCTGTTAATAACTGACCCGTGTCCACATAGTTTTTGACTTCTTCAAAAGACGATCATATCTTTCTGTGGCCTGGCTGTCTTCCACAAAACCTGTGTCTATGGCATACTAATTTTTTTATTTATTTCTAGCATCTTTTCAATGCAGAAGCCAGACTTAGCGGTCTGCAATTCTTCAGCTCCCCGGGGCCTTTTATAAAAATTGGTGTCGTGTTTTCCTCCTCCTGTTTGCTTGATAACAAGGCTGGTGTCAGAAATAGTTTGTCGATTTATGTTGCATTTTTTGGAAGCACTGAGTTTATTAGAAAAATTAAAAAAAAAAGGGGGGGGGGAAAGGAAGCAAAAAGCAATTAGGATATTCATGGCAGAAAAATACCATGCAGATATCTGTTACCTCTGAATTACAAAGTCCCTGAGCTTTAGCTGATGAAGAGAGGAGTACATGGAGGGAAGAATCACTGCCTGCTTTGCCCTGGTTTAGTTCTTCTCCCTGGGCCTCTGGGGTTGGTCACTGCTCAGAGTTCAGCAGAAATACTTCATTTAGCTTTCCTGCTTCTCAAGTGATCTCTTCTCATTTTGATCCTCTCTCAGCCCAGCAGACTTTCTGGCAGGCATCCTGCTTGTGGTGCTTGCAGAAGATATTTCCACAGCAGCTTTTATACTTCAGTAAGCTATTTCTCAAACCTATTTTTTTACATTTTATTATTTCCATTCAGTTGGCCTCAGTTAGGGCTCATTTCTGTTTCCCTTGTTCGGTCACCACTCTGCTCGTTTAAAGAATGTCTGCTGCTCACAGCATCTGTTTCCCAACCCTTTTTGATGATTAATGGTGAACACTCTCCGCTTCCGATTCGGTGTCTTTGAAGAAGCTCCGTGCTACCTGAAAGCCTTTTACCTTTAGTTTGTCTTTTCAGTAAGATAAACTCAGTTCTTTGTAGTTCCCCTGTGGAAGGGGAGGTGTTGCTCGGACACCTCTCTTGAAGCATTAGAACTTCAGTCCTTCCTGGAGAAAGTTAATCAATTCCAAAAGCGTCACCAGGTACTAATGAATTTAGAACACGCTGCTCTGCACCATTTTCTCATCCAGGCACTGAAGCTCTGCTGCTTTTTTTTTTTTTTTTTTTTTTCCCCATAGCTGGGTTCACCAAATTTCTGAGCAATTTTCTCCCGCTTTCCATCTGGAAAAAAAATGAAGAAATGTGTGTCCGTGTCCCCCCAGCCCCGTGGCTGAAGGTGTGAGGATGCTGAATGAGTTTTTTGGGCTGTTTTGCTTCTTCCCATCTGTTTTATTGGTTTCCACCATGTAGCTGAAGACAGACATGGCAAAATGGGCACCGTGATGGCCAAAGGGGCCCTGGCTGTGGGTAAAAGTCTGACTGAAGGGACCTGTTTCTGCAAAATCAGTCCCTCCCATTCGACGAGTTTAAAATAGAGACCAAGTGAAGTGATCATCTCTCGCAGAAGCCCAATTGCATGAGGTCTGGGGTGAACTGTCAACTCAGACCAGTGAAGAATGTTCTTCCCTATGTTCTCGTGGAGGACAGGAGTTCTGCTGCGGGACTGTCTGAGCAGAAAGTGCTGTGTAATAACCTCAGGGTTGTTAAAAAGAAATATGAGTACAAATCCCAGTGTTGAATGTTGACATTGTGCGTTGTCCTCCTCCTCGTGAGGAAGAGTCAAACTGCATTTTGGTTTTTAGGTCATTATCCTAAATGGATCCTTGCAGGACAAAAAAAAGCCTTCTGCTTTTTATTCCCAGTGGCTGTTGTTAGTAGCTGGTTTGCTGGGGGGAGAAGGTATTTGGAGTTGGAAGGTATTTTGTGACCCAGGATGATGGGTTTGCCCTTATTGCACCCTGGGTACAGAAATTTAAGTCAGGAATCGTTCTCCAAAAGTGTGTTCTGAGTGATGCTGTGTGAAATTCCCTGCCTGTCCTGGGGACTGCAGCCTGTTGCTGCAGAGCCCTGCAGCAGGGATGCTCCTGCTGTTGATGAGGTTTCATGCTGGGGCAATTAACTGTGTGTTGGCTCTAAGGAAGGATCGGTGCTGGGTGTGCTTTGTGCCATTGTTAACGAGCCCGTGGAAGACTTGCTTACAAATTACTCTTATCGACCCAGGGGATTTCGCTCTTGTGACTCTATTTATCTAGATTTATTTTCTTTTATGACAGCGTCTTTTGACAGCTGTTGCAGGAGTTTCATCCTGAGTAGTTTGACTGGGAGAAGCAGCGTCGTGACTCTTCGTGGATGTTTATGACATGAGACAAATTAATTTCTTACAGGACTTTTTTTTAGTTATTATTATTATTTTTTACATGACAATAGCTAACTGCCGTCTCCCCACCAGCCTGAGCCAGGATTTCAGCTGCACCGCCCCCACACAGCTGTCAGTCTCAGCCTGGCAAAACAAAGAGTTTTAAGGGATTTTTTTTTCCTTCCGTGGATTATCCAGTTTGACTTTCCCTTTCTAATGATGTCACTGCTGGTGCAGGGCATGCCCTCTGGGCCCTACAAACTCGTACTCGAATAATTGCAGCTGTTGTCATGGGTCACCTCTGTACTTCAAACACAACAACTGGCAACAAGCTCTTGTTGAAAAACCTGAAAAAGGTAACTCTTCCTTTCTCGAATATAATGCTCCCTGGGTACAGAAACGTATTTTTGGACAACTGTTTTTGCAGATCCTGGCGTTTTATAAAACACATCAAAAAGGAAGAAGAATTGGCTTGTTTATAAAATCATACACGTAGTTTTGAAGGGCGTTCATTCTAATTTTTATCATTATTTTTAGTACAAGCAGAGGAGGGAATTCATGCCAGAAATAAAGACTTCTGACTTCACTTAAGAATACCCAGATGCAGAGCTGTGTGTTAGTAAAGTAAAGCTGTTAGTTAGGAAAGATACTCTTCCTGTTGTGGTTTGACGGTCACAGCGTTGACCCTTCAGTTGGTCCAAATGCTATTAAAAATTTCAAACTATAGCAAATTTTTAGTGCTGGACTCGAGTTAAAAAATAGTGAAATCTTTAGTCATAAACAATTAATCAAGGTAGGAAACAAAGCAGAGGAGTCGTGGCTGCTCATTAAAAATGGATTGTGGTTTTACTCTGGGTGAATAAGATGAATTTAATATATTCTCTTACAGTAGGTGGTTGGTTGTCCAGTCCCTGCTGTCGCAGCCAAGGAGATTGACTAGAAAAGCTCTGGAGTGGAGCCTGCTTTCTCCAGGAATGTGACTAGTTCCTTAGTTATAGCACTGTGCACACTGTGTATTTGGTACTGTTGAAGGAAACAAGCTTTCAGTGATTACCATGGGTGTCTGTGCCAATGAGTTAGGGACTCATTGCATGGGGGACCTTGGGAAACCTTTGGTCTGAGTGCCCACGGTACCCTGGGGCTGCTCTGTTACCAAAACACCTGATTGTATGGCCTGTGGGTAAATCTCTGTGCTTTACAGAGAGCTGGGGCTGAGGATCAGGTGAGTTAGTGATCACACTAAATCAGGGCTTCCACTGCAGCGTCTCAGCTGCCCCCCTGATTGTATAGCCTGTGGGTAAATCTCTGTGTTACAGAGAGCTGGGGCTGAGGATCAGGTGAGTTAGTGATCACACTAAATCAGGGCTTCCACTGCAGCGTCTCAGCTGCCCGGCTGCTCTCCTGGAGGAAAAAAAATGTGTTTAAAATGCAATTAGCCACGTGTTGTCTGAGCATCATCTTGTGGGCAGGAGAGATTTGAATGCCAGGCACTGGATTTAAGGCAAAACCAAGCATTTTCTGTTAATGTTTCAGGTCTCAGTAGTGAGAACTACAGTGAAGATGGATCCAGTGTCTCTTTAGTGTTGGCTGACAGCATTTCAAATTTTAAGTTTCAACAGAGAACTAGAAGAGGACAAAGACAAGGACAGAGGCACTGGGTGTGTTGTCTGCAGTTGGATTAGTTGGATTTACTTTTTTTTTTTCTTCTTCCTGCAGTGAGAACTCTGAACAGGAGCTCTTTCTCCACAAAAACATATAGCGAGGCACCTGGAATATATTTAAATTCTGCCTTAAACCCCGGCTTTGGGAGAGGGGGCAGAGAAAAGCCTGGGAGGTTTCCTGCAGCGTAACCCTGCGGGTGCCGTCTGAGACCATAGGAATTTTGGGGTCAAATGAAGGAAGGATTCTGTCAAAGGAATTGTAATCTGAATGCAAAACTAAAAAATGAAATTACTGTTGTAGAGCATGTAAGTAAACTTGGGTGGTACAATTTGTTCCAACCGAGCATGGGCAGGAGCTTCAGGGTTAAGTATCTGATGAGCAAGGTGTGGGGGAAATAAGTATCTCTGTGGGGCTGAGCCCACTGCCCCAAGCTTCCTTCTAGCCTTTGCTTTACTACACGAGGTAAAATTTGTCAACGTTTGATAAATCTAAGAGGTTGTAGCCAGTGGGGTCAGTCAGGAGGGGTTGGTCTCTTCTCCCAAGGAACAGGCAATGGGACAAGAGGAAACGGCCTCAAGTTGTACCAGGGGAGGTTTAGGATGGAGACTGGGAAAAATTTCTTCCCCCAAAGGGCTGTCAAGCCTTGGAAGAGGCTGCCCAGGGCAGTGGTGGAGTCCCCATCCTTGGAGGTGTTTAAAAGCCGGGAGACGTGGTGCTGAGGGACATGGGTCAGTGGTGGATGTGGAAGTGTTGGGTTGATGGTTGCACTCAATGGTCTTAAACGTCCTTTCCAACCAAAATGATTTAATGATTCCAGGGTTTCCCCATAGAAGGGCCCCTCTCCTGCTGTGGGGGTGCACAGCTTTGTGACAGAGGGACAGGGACGATGGTGTGGAGGGGTCTCTGACAGCTCCATTCCCTCCCCAGGGTGGAGAAGGGTGTAGGACCAACATCTCCAGCATGTTGGCTAATAGAAGCAGCATTACTCACTCCAGTTCTCCATGAGGTCACCACTGTCCGTCCTGAACACTTTCCTCTCACTCCAGTGATGAGTCAGCCCGTGTTTTTCTGCAGTGATACTGGTGTGATTTGAGAAGAGGCAGTTTTTCTTCAGGAGCTGCTCTGAAGGCCCTTGCTTTCACCCCAGGGCTACCTGAGGAAGGGGCAGCAAAGGGAGCTGCTCTTCACAAAGGCTGGGACGAGTGGTGGGAAGGGTCCAGAGGCTGGACTCACTCGAGGATGCTCCTCTCTCCTCCCTGCATCCCTTCTGCAGCCTGCTGGCCTCCCAGTTCTACCAGTAAGAATTCAAAGTAATGGTTTGGGGTGAGTTTCTTTGCCGGCTGGCCAGAGTACCCAGGGGATGAAGTCAAAGGTTGGAATGTGTTGAAATCCTCTTTGCCACCCCTCCTCTGGCACTCTGGAGGTGTCCCTGGCCAGCTCTCCACAGCTTTGGCATGGACACCCACATCTATGGGACCCAATCTTGCAAAACTGAGTCTGGAATATCAGGCTTTTTCCCTTTCTGATGCCTAAAAATTAATGGGAAACTAGTGCTGTAAATTTCAGCTTCAAATAGGAGGAGAACATGTGGATGGGTTCCTGGCGTTTGGTTTGCCAACCACTGGATGTCAGTGCTGCTCCGCTGGAGAAAGGCTCTTCCAGCCCTCGGGATGTGAAGGGTCCGCGTTTTTGCCGCTCAAATAATCGAGCGACGTTCAAATTTCTTGGGGAAAATTGCCACGGGGATGAAAATGCACATTGATGGCATCGACCTGCAACTCTCCTGTTTCAAAGCCCTGGTTCCCCATGCGAGGTGCAGGACCAGACCATGCGGGAGCTCCCTGCCCGGTGAGGCAGCCTCTGGACTGGCCAACAACGGCAATAAAGCTGCTGGAAAAAACCTAAAAGTATGATCTTACTGGAGGTATAAACCTAGTGCTTTTATGGCTTGCAAATGGCACATTTAGCAACACATGATTTTTCAAGTTTAAAAAGTAAGACGTGCTGACAGATTTGAGGAGATTAAGTTGGATATGTAGCAAAAAGCCTGTCTAGACCTCTGGTTTTATGTTTTAAAAATGTATTAAATACAGATCAAAAAATGCTTATAAATTGCTCGCATATGTGTTGTTCAATTCAGGCTTTTGTAATAGGTTTGGCTTTTTAAAATTATGTTAAGTTACTTACTGTCTTTCATTCTTATACCCTTCACCATTTTGGTCCCAAATATGACTTACCTAAGTGGGTAAGTGGGAGATTTTCTGTGTGTATTGCCCCGTTTTCCTGCATTTTAACATAACTATCACCAAAGTTAATCCAGGTGAATATACATGTAAAACAACACGGTTCTGTTATTTATCTGTTATTAATCACAAGATGGAAAAAATCTTTCTCTCTCCAGCCAACGGGACCAAAATGAATAGTATGTTTATACCAATTTCTTCTTTTTTTCTGGTAGGTTGAAAATATATATTGATGCTGTTCCTTGACAATAAGTAAAATACATCCTCCTTCACCAAAGAAATGCTCTTTAAATACCTGTAGATCTGTTACATGAGTTCTTTCACGTTTAACATAATTTAGTTTCAGAAACAGTGCTGATTTTTGATGATGAAGGTAATTTCTTTTCAAACACAGGAATGTTTCTGGGTGTTTTAAGCTTTTTATTGTACAGAGAGAAATATAACTGTGGAATTTTGTGCAGCTCTACGTTTAAAAGTTTCCGTTTGTCAGGAATAATTTCTTAATACATGATAGTTGTCTTTTAAAAGTCACATTCTCTGTAGTCGAGACACGACTTACTGAAAGATAAAAAAAGGAAATATTTTGCCCATTGCGATCAAAAGTGGTGTGTGGGGGGTTTTGGTGGTAGGAACCGTGTTGTTGCAGTTGGAAAAGGTGAGGGGAACTTCCAGGCAAGGAAATACCTGGTTGCAATTAGGGAGATGGTGAACACCCTGGTTTAGGGGTGCGGTTGGGGGAATGGATGTTACAATTGCAAATGAAATGCGTCGTTGATAAATGTAATTATTGGGAAGTGTGGACTGAATTACTCATATCGCTTGTTTCTCAGTGGTGGTTTTTTCCAGCTCCATTTGTTATTGTTCACGTCTAAACTTCCAGGTACAAACAGTAAAGATCATGTCTTGTCTCCCATGGGATGGCATTTTTCCCACAAGCAATTAGGCTTTTCTGGCAGTTTTTGCAGATGGAGATTGTTTTATGCAGAAGAGCTGACAGGAGCATTCCACGAGCGGCTGCTCCTCTGCGAGCAACTTCACTTACCATGGTTAAATCCATTTTACTGTGAAAGGGCAGAAATTAATGGCTCTTGATTGCCTCGCCACAACAATGTAACTTTGCTAATTGTGCAGATTCTGCATGTGGACTGTGCAAAGCCAACAGAAACACTTCACACACGGTCCTTCTGTGGGGTAGATCTGATTTAAAGAGGCTTAGGAAAAAAAAAAACAGCACTGTCTTAGGGTGTGTGGTGCAGTAGGTGAGCCCAGTGGCCAGCCCCTCCTAAATCCTGGGGTCTCCTGTTTGGAAGAAGACCTCCCCTGTCTTGGCAGCCACAGTTTGGGGCTTTTCTGCTGTTCTCTACTGGTGGCACAAGCAACATAGTGGTGAAGGTGCTGGTGGAAGTGGAGGTGGAGGAGGTGGAGGTGGGGATGTCCCTTGTTGGGTCCCTGCAATGCCATCCACCTGCCCAGGAGGAAGCATGAAGCTGTTGAGGTGGCAGTCATTGTTCACCAGGGATGTCCTCTCTCAGGAGAAAAAGGGCTCACTTGCTGGAAGGGAGCAACTCTTGGGCCATGCACTTAAGCTATGTCACCTTTAACATCCCGTTTCTCTTTACTCTGAAGGAAAGCCATCAGGAAAGTTTGCATTTGTGCAGACATGTTGTTAAGCAGCTCTGCAACTCATAAGGTAAAAGCTAATAAGAAATCAACTCTTTTTACAGGTGCAAATACTGGCATTATGATGAAAACCTGCTCACCTCCAGCGTTGTCATTGTCTTCCATAATGAAGGATGGTCCACGCTCATGAGGACGGTCCACAGCGTCATTAAGAGAACACCAAGGAAATACTTGGCAGAAATCGTGCTAATCGATGATTTTAGCAACAAAGGTATGTTTGGAATATTAACGTGTATATTTGGAATATTATTAGCATGCTATTTGTAGAAAGGGAAACTTCATTTGTTTTAAGAATAGTTTCCTTTTGATTTATTACCTGCTGTGGATCATGTTGACTCTGCAAGAACAGTAAATCGCCTCCTCCCCGTCCTTGCAGTTTCCAGGGAAGGGAAAGCTCTTTTCTGAGGGAGGTGGAGATTTGTGGAGCTGGCGATTTGTGGAGGTGGCGATTCTTTCTGTGTGTTCAGCTGGGAGACATCGGGGGTTTGTGGTCAGCTCTGGAGCTGTGTCTAGTCACAAGGTGGGATAACCACTACCTTCCTTAGCCCTTGTGAATAAAGTAGTTTTAAGAGTATTGAAGGACTTTAAGTTAAGCCTGTTAAGAATAATTTCTTTATTTATTCCATATAGGAATCCAGACTCCTTTTTTTTTTTTTTTAACTATAAAAAAAAAATCTGTGTCTAGGGCTAGTGAATTATTCTGATTCATTTTCGCTGACTTTTTAATTTTTAACATCCTTTTTTTTTTAATTGAACCATCATGCTGATGTGGTTCTTGTTTCTTACTGTGGAGAGAGGCTTTTAAGGAATATAAGCGCATTTTAATTTCTGGCTTTGTTTTAGCCCTGCATATCAGCATTTTTGGAAGTCCAGAGATTTTTTTCTTCTCCTCTGAAATATACATTTATGGTTTTGGTTTATAGTCATGATGTCATAATGTCAAATAGTCATATTTATGTGTGATTCTGGTAAATATAAACCTACACTGACTTTTTTCCTTTGGTGGTGGTATCTTCAGCGTTAGGGCAAATGGAGGCTGAGCACGGAGAACTGGAAGTGATATAGAGATACTAGATGATTTATATAGAGGAAATCAGTCCAGTTTTAAACTTTAAAACAAATTTCAAAGCAGTGCACCAAAACTGCACGTTCTGCAAGATTTTCTAGTTTTTGTCAGAGAAAAAAAGAGTAGGATGAATAACTAAGGCAGGACTTGGAGTGTGCAGGACAACAGTCTCTTGCAGATGGCCACGGTGATGGCTTTTAGTAGCCCTGGTGAGTTTGGGCTGGCTGGTGGCACAGGACACGTCCCCTCCACCCCTGTCTCTGGCTGTCCCATGGCTGGGCTGGGCAGCAGCTCGGGGAGGAGACGACTCTGCTCTGGAACCCCCAGTTTTAGGGAGGGATCTGGGCTTCTCCCCGCTCCAGACGGGCAGGAGGAGTTGTTTTCTGCAGGAGTACCCACTGAAAACTTTCATCCCGAACTCATCACAGCCAGGGTTGCCTTTTTTGAGTGTAAATCACACGTTAATTTTTACATCATACCTGTGGGTAGGTAGGTATCGCTTTCTGTTTGTTTTTGCAGGAGAGGGAAAGTTATCTGTGCAGTAAACTCGGCTCCATCTGGCTCAGTCTAATAAAGACACTGAGCACAGTGTTATGGTCCCCTGTATCCTCGTCCAGCTTGGGAGAATTTGGCTTGGGTACACGCACACGCTATAAACCAAAAATATCTTCTTTCTCCTAAGGGATATCAGGTTAATAATTCAGTCAGCAGGTGTGTGCTGGGTTTCTCCTCTTCAGCTGGGATGGCAGCTTTCCTTAGGGCTGTTTGAGGACAGAGTTTGCGGCATAAAATAACTGTGACACTGATGTTCTCTGGAAAAACTACCAGGGTTTTTTTCCTTACTAATGGCTGGAGTGAGTGGCTGGGTTTCACATGAGTTGTGGCTGGCTGTGTGTTATGTGCATGTAATTCATGGAATGGGTTTGTCTGGCACAATGGCTCCTGCTGCAGTTCCCCAATATATGACGATTGTTAAGCAAAGGCAGTATTTTTTCAATGAATTTGTTCTGAAATGCAGAACTTCACTTATGCTCCCTGCTCATAACCAACAGTTAGCCGATAGGGCTAGCCTGGACCAGCATCCAGCAGACCCTCCTCTCTCTGGTTCCCACACTTTGTTTTCCCCAGTAACTTTCTGGAACTGGGGAATTCGGGAAAGCCAAGTGCCAGGTGTGATGTTTCTCAGGGAGAATAAACAGGGAGTGGTGCGGCACCGAACGCCTTCCTGCAACTGCTCCCCTGCAAGAATTCTTCAGACTGCTCTGGGCTGTTCACTCGGTAAACATAATTAGCTTAATTTCAGTAATGGACATGAAGAACTGTCCAGGTGGCGGACTCTTGCTCCACCCCTCCTCCCCGGGAGGAGCAGGAGGAGGAGATGGCACAGCACCAGTGCTCTTAATGGTCATATAGATCCTTTTGGGGTGGCTTTTGTCCTTCTGGCTAGAAAATGGGCTGTGCTGACAGCACCTAGATGGGTTTTCTCCTCCTCACCTGATTTCAGAGCCCGTCTCTGCCGTTCCAGCCCCTCATGAGTGTCTGCCCAGTGCGGAGGGATGGAGATACCAGGCTGATAGATGTTTCCTCACGTGCCCTGTGGCTGTTCCTCACTGCCCACCAGCCCTATTACAGCTGCAATGCTTGGGAAATGCTATTTTCATTATAATTCTCTGGATGAAGTCAGTTGGGAGCAGACCCTTTTGCTGATAGTGCTCTCCCATCCAGCCTGGATCCCTCCTGCAGCGGGGGTTTGGCTGGGGGGGCTGTGGGGAGGTGGGCTACCTCTTGTCTGACCATGTTTGCCCTTGCCAGCCCAATGAGGGGATGATGCTGAGCTCCTTCCATGGTGCCAGCTGTGATATTGCCAATGGACACTCCCTATTCATGCACGCCCAAGTCCCAGAAGTGCTGCAGCAGCTTCTACCCCAGCATCGCTGGGTTTTTTCCCCAATTTTTCTGGTATTTCTTGACGGAAAGAGTTTATTTTGCTGTGAGCACTGGCTGTGGGGAGGATAGAACTGGTCTGGAAGGGCCATGAGAATTCATAGCACCAGATTTTCTGAGTTTCCCTCCAATTGCAGTTGTGTATGTGGTCCTCAGTGACGGTCCTTCAGTCCTCTGAAGCACAGAGGTGGGGATCTTGCGGGTCCAGCTCCCTCTGTAGCCTGTGCACCTGCAGAGAGTGAGTGCAAGGGGGGTCCCGGTGTCCCACCAGCCTGTAAAGGCTTCGGCATTTACCAATTTTTCTCCTTTATCGCTGTCTGCATTTCCCACTGATGGGGCAGCCCATCAGATAACCCCAGGGGAGGTGTTAATCCCTGGCAGGGCTCTGGCTGTGCCCCGCGTTCCTGGAGCTGCTCTGGGGCTTCTTACAACCCTTTTTTTTCTAGTTCCCAAACTGTCATCCACGAATCGAGGGCGGAAAAAACCTTGGTTTTTCCTCCCTTCCCTTGTTCCCTGCAGTGCCTCAGGTCCTTGGGAGACGTGTTTTTAAAAATCTTTATTCACACTTTATTCATGCACTGAGACGGGAAGGAGGAGGAGAGAAGGGAGAAGAACCCAAACAAGGGAGGACCAGATCGGTGGTTATAATATTTTGAAGGGTAAAAATATACATTTTTAAACAAAGACCAGAATTGCTGTTGACAGATGGAGTAAATACACGGTCTAGGTGAACAAAATTCAGCACTGGCCAAACAATATATCTAACTGTTTTATACGTGATTTTATACACTACTGTCACACAGTCTTTGGAGTGTGGGGAGGAGGGAAAAATCCCATTTTTCCTGTGGGAAATGGCACTTGCTGCTGCCCCTGGCAGGGTGTCAGCTAATGGACTGCAAAGCCCTGAGCCTTGTGCTGCTGAAAAGCTTTTTGCTGTCGGTGTGACGGGGTTTTTTACAGCTCCCCACGAGCCAGTCGGGGCTGAAAGTTGGACAACTGAAACGTTTGGCTTCACAGGCTGGAAATAACTTTGGGGCTTAAATCCCCAAAACATTCCTGACAGTCCTTCTGTGGCACGGATTTGGAATTTGCAGCATAAATAATGGTGTGGTGTAAAGAGCCTCTTAGTGCCGCTTCAGCATGACCTCATTACTCCAATGAATTTACCCTAAAAAAATGTGTATCACAGCTCTCCCATCATATATTCTATGTATATGACATGACGTGTTCTTCTATACCACACGTGATAAAATTGCTCTTTCTCTACTTCATATTTATATATCCTTGAGGTTTTCCTACTGCACAGGGATTTACAAAAGAAATTGTAAATGTGTGGGGAAAAGGAGAAGGGGATGTATAAAAGTTTTAGTTGAGGAAACTTATTCCTTTATAAAGGTAAAGAGGAGGGATAACAAGAGTATTAAAAGGTAGTGTAAGTAGAAGTAGTAAAAGGTAGTAGAAGACTGTTCTTTGGGACAACTGCTGAATTTTCAAGTTTGGAAACTTGACTTCCAAAAAACAGTTCCTTTTTTTTCAGTTATTTACATGTAGCTTTTGCTTAAAATAGATTTATTTATTTTTTTAATACTGTTGGCAACAATATGAACCAGACTGAAATGTTAAGTTGCAGCAAGCTCCAGGGTTGAATTATTTTCATTTGGGATACAGAAAGTGTTGCTGCTGGAGTGGCCTGATGGCTTGTTGGTGCTCAGCAGGGACGTCCTTCTCCTTCCCCACCACGTGTCCCTCCCCGTTGGGTCAGTGTGGACACACCAGCACCCGGATGCCTTAGTTTGGTTCCCAACTGAGAAAAACCGAGGCTGTTGACAATTCTTCTGAGCCTTTCCCTACAAAAATAGATTGATAATGACCAGCAGTAGCTAAATGAGCGTAGCCTGGAAGGGCAAGTGCCCACCTGCCCTTGGGAGTCCTCAATAGCATCATCTGTGCCAGAACAGCATCCAACACTTTGCTCCTTTTGTCAAATTGTGGGGTAGGAATGGGGTTTCCAGATTAGTTTGTCAGAGCCATAAAATCATAGAATTGTTTAGGTTGGAAGGGACCTTTAAGATCATCTAGTCCAACCATCACTAAACCATGTCACTAAGTACATGTCAACCCATGTGCAAATACACATCTCGATTTGCCCATATAAGCCCATCTTAATGCTTAGGTGATCACTGGTCCCTTTGCTGACCAGGTCCCTGTGGCTGAAGGTCCCTGTTCACTGTGGGGACCATAATGTGCTCAGCAGCCTGATGCACCACAGCTTGTTCACTGCTCTTCTCCCCTCCAATTACTCTTTATTAATTTCCTTAGAAGATTGGCATGAGACCACCCAACCCCAACTCCAAGGGGGGACAGGCGTAGGGGAGGGAGGGCAGTAATTTGAGTGTGGTGGGTTTCTGTCTGAGGTTCCTAGGTTTGATGGGTACCCAAAAAATTGTGAGGCAAAAAAAAGAGGGAAGAGAAATGTTTAACTGCAAAGTTGTGCCTCCAGCTGCCTGTGTGACATCGCTCAATGAGGAAGGACCATGTGCTGGAGGGTAGAAACTTCTCTGCCTGGGTGAAATTCAGACAAAGACCTGGCAGCCACTTTGAGACCTATTGAAGGGGGAATTGTCCACCCGGGTCCCCCACGGAGCGGCCAACCATGTCCTCTGTGTCTCTTCGGATGTGCCACAGAGTCTGAGAGCTCCCAGCCTCCATCTCCTCACATTCAGGGCTTCGAGCTGGGCTGCAAAGATGCTCTTCCATGGCTGCAGCTGGTTTTAAGAAGAGTTGGGTTTGGGTTGTGTTAAGAGTTGGGTTGTGTTAATAAAAAAACCCTGCTTATTATTAAACCTCACCCAAAATACTTCTCTTTTTTGTTGTTTTTTCTCTTTGTCCCTTGACAGCACACTTGAAAGAGCGGCTGGATGAGTACATTAAGCAGTGGAATGGCCTCGTCAAGGTGTTTCGGAACGAGAGGAGGGAAGGCTTAATCCAGGCCAGGAGCATCGGGGCCCAGAAGGCAAAACTGGGACAGGTGGGAGCCACTTCACACACAAGTCTCTCTCCTTTTTTCAGTCTTTTTTGGGGAAAAGGTGGTGGTGGTTCTATGTTCAAATAGACCTGGAGAAACGTAGTATTGTATTATCGATACTGTTTTAAAAAGAGATTAATTTTACTCATTGAAGCTTCACTTTTTATTTTATAATATGAAAGCATTTCAGTGTAAATAAGCTTCATTAAATCATCGTGATCTCATATACAGAAATATTGATGACTTTTTTTTTTCTTTTTGAAGGTTTTGGTTTACCTCGATGCCCATTGTGAGGTGGGAATTAATTGGTATGCGCCACTTATAGCTCCTATCTCTAAGGACAGGTAACCTTCTCCTGTTATTTCCAGTGTCTGCCCTCTTAGGAAGGAAAAGTCACAGTAAAAATCTTTGCTTTTCAAAATATAGTTAGTGAGTTTTATATCTATGACAATGTATAGCTATAGCAAACTGTAGCAATATTTGCTGTGTGACGATTTTATTATCTCCCAGTGTAAAAGCTGTGTGGGGAGGAAGGAAAATAGTTGGGTGAATAATTCTCTGAATGGTTTATTTCAATAGGAGCACTGAATATTTTGCTTAATGTAGATTAAATATAAGACAACTCTTGCCTTTTGCAGAATTTGAGGGGCTGTTATAAAACTGTTCTGTTCCAGCTGAATAAGGAGCCTGATTAAACCAAACAGCTCGACAAAACCAGGGGCTGCAGAGCCCTGTGCTCTGAGCTGGGGGGGGGCACTGAGGAAACCATGTGCTTGTTTAAACTCTTTAATCCCATAAAAAACAATTGCTTAATCCTAAAAAATATTTGTTAACCTCTCCTACTACCAGGGCTTTCCTGAAGAGGGTTTTTTCCTGTGTGTTTTAAAGGCGTTAACTCAGTTTAAAGACCGTATTTTCCCCTCCTGCCACCACGGTCCCAAACAGCAGCACGGAGTTAGCGCTGCTTTGACTTAAAAAGATGGAAATGCTCCAGGTTTGGTCACTGGGAAGCCTTTTTGGAAGATTTGGGGCGAATAACAAGATAATGTCTTTTCCTTGGTGAATATTGTGTGTGATAGATCACAACGGGGAGCGTATTGCAAATCAGACAGGCAAAAATGGACCGAAGATTGGTGCCAGGAGAGCACAGGGACGTTCTGTATCCCCAGGGGTTGGAGGTGGGCAGCTGAATGGGACAGAACAGTGAAAATCCATGTTTTACACTAGTAAAAGCCCCTACATAAGGGAGTCTGTTGATAGCTGAGATCTGATATGAATAGAAATCAGGGGAAATGTCAACCCATGTGCAAATACACATCTCGATTTGCCCATATAAGCCCATCTTAATGCTTAGGTGATCACTGGTCCCTTTGCTGACCAGGTCCCTGTGGCTGAAGGTCCCTGTTCACTGTGGGGACCATAATGTGCTCAGCAGCCTGATGCACCACAGCTTGTTCACTGCTCTTCTCCCCTCCAATTACTCTTTATTAATTTCCTTAGAAGATTGGCATGAGACCACCCAACCCCAACTCCAAGGGGGGACTGGCGTAGGGGAGGGAGGGCAGTAATTTGAGCGTGGTGGGTTTCTGTCTGGGGTTCCCAGGTTTGATGGGTACCCAAAAAATTTTGAGGCAAAAAAAAGAGGGAAGAGAAATGTTTAACTGCAAAGTTGTGCCTCCAGCTGCCTGTGTGACATCGCTCAATGAGGAAGGACCATGTGCTGGAGGGTAGAAACTTCTCTGCCTGGGTGAAATTCAGACAAAGACCTGGCAGCCACTTTGAGACCTATTGAAGGGGGAATTGTCCACCCGGGTCCCCCACGGAGCGGCCAACCATGTCCTCTGTGTCTCTTCGGATGTGCCACAGAGTCTGAGAGCTCCCAGCCTCCATCTCCTCACATTCAGGGCTTCTTTAACTGCAAAGTTGTGCCTCCAGCTGCCTGTGTGACATCGCTCAATGAGGAAGGACCATGTGCTGGAGGGTAGAAACTTCTCTGCCTGGGTGAAATTCAGACAAAGACCTGGCAGCCACTTTGAGACCTATTGAAGGGGGAATTGTCCACCCAGGTCCCCCATGGAGGGGCCAACCGTGTCCTCTGTGTCTCTTCGGATGTGCCACAGAGTCTGAGAGCTCCCAGCCTCCATCTCCTCACATTCAGGGCTTCGAGCAGGGCTGCAAAGATGCTCTTCCACGGCTGCAGCTGGTTTTAAGAAGAGTTGGGTTTGGGTTGTGTTAAGAGTTGGGTTGTGTTAATAAAAAAACCCTGCTTATTATTAAACCTCACCCAAAATACTTCTCTTTTGTTTGTTTTTTCTCTTTGTCACTTGACAGCACACTTGAAAGAGCGGCTGGATGAGTACATTAAGCAGTGGAATGGCCTCGTCAAGGTGTTTCGGAACGAGAGGAGGGAAGGCTTAATCCAGGCCAGGAGCATCGGGGCCCAGAAGGCAAAACTGGGACAGGTGGGAGCCACTTCACACACAAGTCTCTCTCCTTTTTTCAGTCTTTTTTGGGGAAAAGGTGGTGGTGGTTCTATGTTCAAATAGACCTGGAGAAACGTAGTATTGTATTATCGATACTGTTTTAAAAAGAGATTAATTTTACTCATTGAAGCTTCACTTTTTATTTTATAATATGAAAGCATTTCAGTGTAAATAAGCTTCATTAAATCATCGTGATCTCATATACAGAAATATTGATGACTTTTTTTTTTCTTTTTGAAGGTTTTGGTTTACCTCGATGCCCATTGTGAGGTGGGAATTAATTGGTATGCGCCACTTATAGCTCCTATCTCTAAGGACAGGTAACCTTCTCCTGTTATTTCCAGTGTCTGCCCTCTTAGGAAGGAAAAGTCACAGTAAAAATCTTTGCTTTTCAAAATATAGTTAGTGAGTTTTATATCTATGACAATGTATAGCTATAGCAAACTGTAGCAATATTTGCTGTGTGACGATTTTATTATCTCCCAGTGTAAAAGCTGTGTGGGGAGGAAGGAAAAGAGTTGGGTGAATAATTCTCTGAATGGTTTATTTCAATAGGAGCACTGAATATTTTGCTTAATGTAGATTAAATATAAGACAACTCTTGCCTTTTGCAGAATTTGAGGGGCTGTTATAAAAATGTTCTGTTCCAGCTGAATAAGGAGCCTGATTAAACCAAACAGCTCGACAAAACCAGGGGCTGCGGAGCCCTGTGCTCTGAGCTGGGGGGGGCACTGAGGAAACCATGTGCTTGTTTAAACTCTTTAATCCCATAAAAAACAATTGCTTAATCCTAAAAAATATTTGTTAACCTCTCCTACTACCAGGGCTTTCCTGAAGAGGGTTTTTTCCTGTGTGTTTTAAAGGCGTTAACTCAGTTTAAAGACTGTATTTTCCCCTCCTGCCGCCACGGCCCCAAAAAGCAGCACAGTGTTAGCGCTGCTTTGACTTAAAAAGATGGAAATGCTCCAGGTTTGGTCACTGGGAAGCCCTTTTGGAAGATTTGGGGCGAATAACAAGATAATGTCTTTTCCTTGGTGAATATCGTGTGTGATAGATCACAACGGGGAGCGTATTGCAAATCAGACAGGCAAAAATGGACCGAAGATTGGTGCCAGGAGAGCACAGGGACGTTCTGTATCCCCAGGGGTTGGAGGTGGGCAGTTGAACGGGACAGAATGGTGAAAATCCATCTTTTACACTAGCAAAAAGCCCCTACATAAGCAAGTCTGTTGATAGCTGAGATCTGATATGAATAGAAATCAGGGGAAATGATGATATTGTGGGAGCCCAGCCCTCTAAAGTTTTTTAGAGGTGTTAGATTTAGATTTCATATTCAATGTAATATTAAATTTCTAACATTACCCACCTCGGGCGGTGTGTTATTAGAAGAGCCATGCCAAGAAGTGCACGTAAAGCAACAGGTATTAATACATGAATTGATATATTGTCATTTCAGACCTAACTTTTCTGCTTTCAGGACCTCTTAAAACAACATCAAGAAAGGACTGTCTCTTTTTTTCCGCTGCTTTGACTTAAAAAGATGGAAATGCTCCAGGTTTGGTCACTGGGAAGCCTTTTTGGAAGATTTGGGGCGAATAACAAGATAATGTCTTTTCCTTGGTGAATATTGTGTGTGATAGATCACAACGGGGAGCGTATTGCAAATCAGACAGGCAAAAATGGACCGAAGATTGGTGCCAGGAGAGCACAGGGACGTTCTGTATCCCCAGGGGTTGGAGGTGGGCAGCTGAATGGGACAGAACAGTGAAAATCCATGTTTTACACTAGTAAAAGCCCCTACATAAGGGAGTCTGTTGATAGCTGAGATCTGATATGAATAGAAATCAGGGGAAATGATGATATTGTGGGAGCCCAGCCCTCTAAAGTTTTTTAGAGGTGTTAGATTTAGATTTCATATTCAATGTAATATTAAATTTCTAACATTACCCGCCTCGGGCGGTGCGTTATTAGAAGAGCCATGCCAAGAAGTGCACGTAAAGCAACAGGTATTAATACATGAATTGATATATTGTCATTTCAGACCTAACTTTTCTGCTTTCAGGACCTCTTAAAACAACATCAAGAAAGGACTGTCTCTTTTTTTCTCCTAACGGGGCTTCATATTTTAATAATACGTTTACAAGGGGCTTTCCATACAGACTGCTCCCTGAGGTTAATGACTGACGGCGTGGATTTTGGATTAGACAGATTGCTCCTTCTGAAATTGTATTTTGCTCTCTCTTTCCCTTCTGTAAATGTTTCAGAACTACATGTACTGTACCTCTAATAGATTACATAGATGGGAATGATTATTCCATTGAGCCACAACAAGGTGGGGACGAAGATGGCTTTGCCAGAGGGGCCTGGGACTGGAGTTTGCTGTGGAAACGCGTTCCCTTAAGCCACAAGGAAAAGTCCAAACGAAAGCATAAAACTGAGCCTTATCGGTAAAGCCAGCTGTTTGCCTTCTGTCAATCCTAACGGATAATTGTCCTCTTTTGTTGTTTGTTTTTTTCCCCCCCCTCCCCGATTCTTTTTTGTTGTCCCCGCGTGCCACCGGGGGGTCCTTGCCCTCGCCGTCCCGGCCGGCAGAACCACATGCACCGTCCCCCTCATAGATGTCATAGAGGGACACACTTTTAAGATTGTGCCCCAAGGGGGTGGTGACGAAGACGGGTTTGCTAGAGGAGCGTGGGACTGGAGCATGCTCTGGAAGAGGGTGCCCCTCACCAAGCGGGAGAAGGAGAGCAGAAAGACAAAAACCGAACCCTATCGGTAATGGCTAAAAAACACTCACCCCCTTCTCCTCTTCTGCTGGAGCCTGGGCCGCTCAAGCTCGCATGTTCTCCTCGCCTGGGACACCTTCCCCTCTTCTAACCCGGGACACCTTCCCTTCTTCTAGCCTGGGACACCTTCCCCTGTCTAACCCCACTGGCTGCTTCCATAAATCACAGCCCCCTTTGCCACAACCTGCTCCTTTCCCTCCACTCCTGCTCTCAGGGTGCACGACAGAACAACGGGGGGGTTTCTCTGGCAAAACAGGGCTCGGGTTCCAGGGGAAACCTTAGTTAGCATTGAGACCTTATTTATTTTTTATTTTTTTTTGGTAAAAGTAATATCGGAAACAGCTCCTTGCTTATTCACCCCTTTGGTTTGCAGTAAGGAGCACGCTGTAGGTGTTGCAGGCAGCTGGAGGGGGGGGAAAGGGGCTGTGGGAGGATGCATGCCTTCAAGTGCCCGCGCTGCCCACCTCCCTCGGGGAAAAAAACCTCATTTTTGGTCATATTTCTCCCGTTTGCTTCATAACGGATGGCGCTTGACAGAGAAGCAGAGTGTTTAAGACTCTGGGCTGGGTACTTTCTAAGGTCTCGGTGTGTGTAGGGATTTTAGTTTAATGCACATAACATTAAAAAATGGGGAAAAAAAAAGGACACCCACCCCCCTCCCCCCCGTGTTTTCTGGGAGAAGTGCCTGCGCTGCCCACCTCCCTCGGGGAAAAAAACCTCATTTTTGGTCATATTTCTCCCGTTTGCTTCATAACGGATGGCGCTTGACAGAGAAGCAGAGTGTTTAAGACTCTGGGCTGGGTACTTTCTAAGGTCTCGGTGTGTGTAGGGATTTTAGTTTAATGCACATAACATTAAAAAATGGGGAAAAAAAAAAGGACACCCACCCCCCTCCCCCCCGTGTTTTCTGGGAGAACTCCAATAATTCCCATCTTTTTCTTCTGCTTTGGGAGGGGGATATATATCTTCTTCTGTGCACAGAGGAACTGGCTGGAGACCCTGGGGCAGAAAGGAGAGTTTCTGGGTGGCTTTTCAAGGCTGGGAGGCTGTGGTTCTGCTGGTTTTTATTACCTTCCCCTCCGCACTGAGCTCCCGGTGTTCCTGCCTCGCAGAGCCATCCCCACGGCCTCGGCATCCCAGGTCCTCTGGCTCCTACACCTGATTTAAACCTTGTCAGAGCCGGTGTCGGGAATTCCCTGTCCTCACCCCGGGGTTGTTCTCCCCTAAAATGGCAACACATGGGAGGAAGCCATGAAGCTTTGATCTGTTTTGGGTCCGGTATCAATAATACCCTTTTCTGACAGGGCTGCCCACGTCGGGACTTTCATATGGGCTTAGAGGGGGATAAACTATTCCAAGCATCGCTGCTGCCTTTCTGTGTTTACCATCCAAACAGGTCTTAAAAAGCCTTTAAACTGTTCCCAGAAACACGGAACACATGTTTGCAGGGTGGTTTAAAAGAGGACTTTATTTTTAATAACGCTTTCAGAGTTATGGGACAGCTCCTAAACAGAGACCTTCCCCGCCTCTGCTCGTGTCCCGGCCTTTTCTTGGGGCAAAACCCAGACAAATCGGACCAAGGGAATGGTGACGTTTACCAGCCAGGGCTGCCTGGTTTAGAAAGGAGAGGGGGACGAGGGGACGTTGAGGAGTAATGGGGCCAGGTGACGGGAGAGCAGCTGCTGCCGTCACCACCACGCTTCCAAAAACATCCCTTTTGTCACAGCTCTCCCACGTGCTCCGTGATGGACCATGTCTGAGAAAGAAGCAGGCTGTTTAACAATCTTTCTGAAGATTTTTCTATAAAATATTTGCTGAGGTCGCAGTGTGTGTAGGGAGTTTCATTCAATAAACATCGCAAAACAACAGAAAAAAAAAAGGGAAAAGACCCTTATTTTCTGGGAAAACTCCTGTTAAAAGGAGCAGCACAAAGTTAAAAATCTGATGGAATGAGGAGAGTGAAGGCTGCTAGAAATGACCCGTCTCCTGCTGCTTTGGACAAGAAGGAATATTTCCCTTGTTTTTCACTCGGCTCACAAGGGTGATCCCAATCCTTCAGTGCTGCACATCATCTGATGTCAGAAAGGATTCACTTTTTCCTTATGAGGAAAACGTGATTTTTTTAAAATTTTTTTTTAAATTACCAATTTAGCAGGGGCTCTAGCTTCTATTGATTAAGGATTATTTTTTTATATGTATTTATTGCTCAGCAGGTGAGAAACCCTTGGTAGGTGCGTGGGAGATGGCTCAGCACATCCTGCTCTCCACTTCGAGCTACCGAGGGACAGTGGTTGGAGCCACTCTGCAAAAATGCTCCCGTCCAAACCACAGAGGCTTTTTGACACATTAAAACTTGCTAATTGAGCCCTGGCGTACTTGGGGGGATTTGCAAAGCCATTAAGAAAAAATAGATTAATTTAAAAAATAAATAAAGGGGGAAGGAAACCTTGTTGATCCAGGCCCTCTTAAAAATTTCCCTGAGTATAAAGAAAAGTGTCTCACATGGCAGTGGTGGGAAAGCAGCCAGAGGGAGGAGACAGAAAGGTGCTGTTCAGCCCAAAAAGCTCTGTTCCTTGTTTAACAGACAATGAGTTTCCACGTGGCAGCTCCTCAGAAGGTCAAACAGCCAGTTCCACCCTCTCATCTCTTCTCTCGGCAGCCTGAATGGCTTTCAGGAGAGAAACACCTTGTCACCCTGAGCCTTCCCTTTCTTGCTGTCAGTGGAAGCACGTGGCTGGCTGAGTGGGTAGCACCAACCCATATTTTGTGTAGAAATAGAAAAAAAAAAAAAATTAAACAATCTTTGACTTCACTAGAAATTATACAAACGGCGCTTCAGAAAATTGCTGGAAGCCGATGACAAAGCTTTATGGTTTTTCAGTGTATTGCCATTTACCTCATCTTTATTCTGTGGTACGGGTGAATTGCTTCCTTAATTACCGCGTTCCCCTGGTGAGCAGGCGTGACGCCGTGTCCCTCCCGCAGGTCCCCCGCCATGGCTGGTGGGCTCTTCGCCATCGAGCGCGACTTCTTCTTCGAGCTGGGGCTCTACGACCCGGGGCTTCAGATCTGGGGGGGAGAAAACTTCGAAATCTCTTACAAGGTAACACCGAAAACTGAAAACTTATTCTATTTAGTGGGTCTTTTTTTTCTGTAAATAATTCTGTTTGGGGTTCAGGCAGATTTGCAGCACCTCAGCCTCGCCCAAGCCAGGAAGGTTTGGTGGCCAGGAGATGTCTGTCCCCACCGTGTCCCCCTGTGGGCTTTGGTGCTGAGACCTGAACTTTTCTGAGTGGTTTGGGGTCACACCCCTCCCCCCCCAAAAAATGTCCAATCTGGTGGATCTGCTGGTGGGAATGGAGTGCTCTCCACACGGGGAAATGTGAGACCTCCCGGCTGGTGTCATCAGATCACACCGATCTTCAGAAGAGCTAAATGACATTTCTCAGCAAACAGCACGTACAATGGCCTTGTGCGTCTGAGGGTTGGGTTTTTTTTGATGAAACTTAAGAAAATTAATAGGAGGATGGAATGAAGGAAGGGAACTGTTCTGCCCATCTCTGCAAATACTGTCAGGTCAGGTTTTTAGTCTGGAATTCGGGCTAATCTGGGACATCCCCAATGTCAGCTTGGGTTGGGATTTGATGCATTTCAAACTTGTCAAAATTATTGCACAGCTAAACTCAGATTTAGGTATGTTGGTTTTTTCCCCTGTAAATGATCCAAGGCCATGTGGGAGGGGGGGAATTTCAGAATAGTGACATGTTTTAGCCATTTGTTATTCTCAGCTGCTATTGTTGTTAAAGAAAAAGCTGTTTGTTCGTGGAACAGTGGGTTACCAAAGACATCCCTCTCTCCCCTACTAGTCTTTATTAAGAAAAACTTAGATGTGATGGGCATCTAACCCAAACCTATCTTAGGGGCATGTCAATTGCTTTAATTAGGAGACCTTATTGCTCTCTACAACTACTTCTCCCAAGTCACAGGCGACAGGACGAGAGGAAATGGCCTCAAGTTGTGCCAGGGGAGGTTCAGGCTGGATATTAGGAAAAATTGTTTCACCGAAAGGGTTCTCAGCCCTTGGAATGGGCTGCCCAGGGAGGTGGTTGAGGCCCCATCCCTGGAGGTGTTCAAAAGACGGGTTGATGTAGTGCTGGGAGGTCTGGTTTAGTGATGATGCTCCTTGTTTGTTGTGCGGGTGTCTATTTTTGTCAGTTAGGTTGACGGTTGGACAAGATGATCTTTGAGGTCCCTTCCAACCTAGAAGATTCTGTGATTCTGTAATAAAATGGAATTATTATTAATTCTATCATAAGAAAAATGACGGGGTTCCAGGTTGTGCGCACTCACTCATTACTGTTGTTTCAAAACAGCAATGGGATGAGACAGCACGCTTTTTTCAGAGCTTTTTTAAAAAAGTAATTTAGTTATTCCATGGCTGAGTTGAAGGTGTTCCCAACACAGCCCATCATTGCAGACACCCCTGGTGTTTATGCAGCATCTGAAGAGAAAATATTTATACCGCACAGCATCGTAAGAAAAGTAGTGGACATTTCTTCCATAATTTATTTTTTCTTTGTCTGGCTTGAATTCCTGTGTGTGTGTCTGAGTGTCCCTGTGCTTTGCCCGGCAGATCTGGCAGTGTGGGGGGAAGCTGCTCTTCGTCCCCTGCTCCCGCGTGGGACACATCTACCGGCTGCAGGGCTGGCAGGGCAACCCGCCCCCCGTCTACGTGGGCTCCTCGCCCACCCTCAAGGTACCGCTTCCCTGCACCCCCGGGGATGGGCTTCGACCTTGGGTAACAATGGTTTTAGATAAAACTACTTAAATTGTCAGTAGGAAATCTATTTGTTGCCTGAAGCTGAGATGGTCCATCCCTGTGGGAGGGAAATCTCTGTGCCACCGTTATTAAGAGCAGAGGTTCCTGGGCCCATCTCCTGCTTCACCTCCCCACCAGCAGAAAGAGAGACCTCCCTCCTGTGTAAGGTCTCCTGTTGCCTATTTCGAGCTTCCTCTTGTGCAGTGTTTTGATGTGGGCAAATCCTGTCCCCAAAGACCCAATTCTTTGGGAATTCCGAGCCCAGAGCCATCTTCCTGGATGTTACCCAGAATGATGACCACTGGTGGGGTTACAGAGTGTGGTTCAGCCAAGCCAGTGGTTGGGACTGTTGAAAAGGGAATGTCCCAGCCCAATTTAATGGTAGAAAACTAACCTGGCACCCCCCAAAAATAAAAACCCCTCTATTAGTAATGGGAATTGATTAATATTTTGATCAGGCAAGGACTGGGACCAGTCCAAGGGAGGGCAGGGGTGATGGGCACAGCTGGGAGGCAGGATGGCCATTGATGGTTCCATCCCTCAGGGCAGGCAAGGGGCTTGTTTGCTTTCCCAAAAACGATAAAAAACATTGCACTCTCCTGAAAAACTGATCAAAAATATTTACTGAGTGAATATTTACACCTTTGGTGGGGCTGCTCGTCCATTTGCTGAATCCAACAAAACACCGAAGGTTCTAAAATACAAAGTCCCTTCTCTGCACAAGGGAACTTTGCCTCTCCGGGCTCCCTCCCATCCCACAGAAGATGGGCTGGTTTGTGGCTTTGTTCCAGTTATGCTGGATGGGGATTAAAATTCAAACTCTCAATCCCTTGTGCCGCTATCACATCTATGGAGACTGGTTTCCCCAGGCCATTAATGCCATAAGAATTGTACAAATTGGGGTGTGCATCAAGAAAACAGGTAATAGAGAGACAGGAGCCATCAAAGGGACTGAGAAGAAGGATTTTGAATCATTTTCGTAAACCCCTTTATTTGGGAAGGTAAAATCTCCTGGGTGTGTCATAGCTCACCCCTTTAATACTTAATTTTTTTCACCCTTAGTGGACCAATGTCCATGTTTTAATACATTCTCTGCATTAAAAGGTGACTCCAATCTCTGAATCGCAGTGCTGGTTTGCAGGTGGTGATTGCAGCCTGTTATTGCAGAGTCTTTATTTAAAAAAAAAAGATCCTCTAAACTTAAGGAAAAGACTTAGTACTCTCCTCAAGCAGTTTATTTTTCTGGCTTCAGCCCTAAAATGTCACTTGAAAGTAATACCCGTGTGCCTTGTGCTGTCTGTGGAAGGTGACAAACAATCAGCACCAGATAATAATTTCCCGCTGTGGCTTTTTGAGGAGAAACGCTTGAATTTCAGGCCCGAATGTGCAGCAATGTCCTTGTTCCTCCCAGAACTACGTGCGGGTGGTGGAGGTGTGGTGGGATGAGTACCGGGACTACTTCTACGCCAGCCGGCCCGAGACCAAGGCGCTGCCCTACGGAGACGTCTCCGAGCTGAAGAAGTTCCGCGAGGACCACAACTGCAAGAGCTTCAAGTGGTTCATGGAGGAAATAGCCTACGATATCACCTCCTACTATCCCCTGCCGCCCAAAAACGTGGACTGGGGAGAGGTGGGTACAGCACGGAACTGCCATTTATTTCAGGAGATTTAAAAAAAAAAAAAACAAAATGGGAATTTAAAAGGAAGAGGTGGTTACTCGACATCGCTCTGAGAACAGGCTCTTTGCTGCTGATCTGAGGTATATGGTATGAACCAGAGAGTTATAGAGATATATCACTCTCTACAACTTCGTGAAAGGACACTGTAGAGAGGTTGGTGCTGGTCTCTTCTCACAGGTAATTAGTGACAGAACGAGAGGGAACGGCTTCAAGCTCCAACAGGGGAGGTTTAGATTGAACATTAGGAAGGAACTTTTCACTGAAAGAGTGGTCGGGCATTGGAACAGGCTGCCCAGGGAGGGGGGGGAGTCACCATCCCTGGCTGTGTTTAAGGGACGTTTAGATGCAGTACTGAGGGACATGGTGTAGGGGAGGACTTTGTAGAGTAGGGGAGATGGTTGGACTCGATGATCCCAAGGGTCTCTTCCAACCTCAATGATTCTATGATTCTATGATATAACTCGAGGGAAAAAAAAAATAATGTTTTCTAAGAGGTCAATTTTTTCAATTATCTCCATATTTCCTTGAAGGATTATTTAATCTCTAGCCCTGCCTTTCGGTTATATCTAAAGCTCTTCTTTCTGGAATTGGAATTTAGGGGTGGGTTTGTTTGTTTTTTTTTTAAAAAAAAAAAAGGTTAAAGAAGTTAAAATGCAACCCCCCTTTTGCAGATCCGGGGCTTGGAGACGGTGTACTGCATCGACAGCATGGGCCACACCAACGGCGGCTTCGTGGAGCTGGGGCCCTGCCACCGCATGGGGGGCAACCAGGTGAGGAGCTGGGGGGGCCAGGCTGGAGGAGAAGTGTTTGCCATGGGTGGCCACGGGCTGGGCTCCTGCTTGCCCCACAGGAGGAGTCACTGGGGCTCCAGCCACAAGGACACGAGTTGGGGCTGTTCCGTGAGGGCATGGATGTTGCGAAAATACAGGGCTTTGGAAATACCATTTTGAACACAAAGGGTACAAAATTGAAGGCAAATGGGTGCGTGGGGAAGGAAGGGCTGTTCCAAAGCAGCCGTGTCCCGGTGTTGGAACAACCACAGCTCGTAGTGCTGCTGCTGAGTCAGCATTTATCATTTATCTGCACTAAATACTTCCATAATTAACGCTTCGGAAACAACCCCCCTTCCTGACGTTGGCTCCGTTAAATCACAAAGCTGATTTGCTCAAAGGGAAGGATAAAACACCTTCCTGCAGCGACCCCTCTTCCACCACAGGGGAGGAGGAGTCCAGCACAATCTCTGCTTCGTTTACAAATTAATTGCCAGACCGTAATTGCCAATAGGTGGTTGCAATCCAACCCACCGTGGGGTTTGACCTGTGCCTGCACAAACCTCTCCTCTCCTCCATTTCCATCTCCTGTTCTCACCTGGGAAACTTTTCAGCATTTAAAATCCTTTTTTATGGTGGTGACGACCTGAACCGGGCGAGGGGCAGCCGGGACACTGTGTGGAGAGTGAGGGTTAGCTCTTCGGAGCCCTTGGAAACGCTTCTTTTATTTCAATATTTAATGAAAAAAAGTTCCCCAAGCTACTTTCCCTGCATCTGCTACACCCCAGAACTCTGTGAGGATTATTTCATAAGTAGCCAGGGTAAGCTTTTTGTACCTGAATGCATTAGTTTGGGCATTTTTCCCACAGAGGAACTCAAAGTTTTCCTGTCATCACATGAACTGGGTGTCCAGGCCCAGAGCTTTAGGGAGAGAGAGAGGATTGTTGTTAAATCACGCACAGGTTTTAATCAAATGCTTTCAGAAACCTCCCAAATCACCATCCCTTTATTTTGTGTATTTTTTGTCCTGCTGGGTAAGTTTCTTACCCTTGGAAACCCCCCCCCCCAGGGAAGTTCTCTGTGACACTGAGTGTTGTGATGGTGAAAGTGTGTTACATCCTGGGAAATGAAGACCTTTCCTGAGAGACGGGTGGGACAGCAGGAGACGATATTTTGAATTTTGCGATTTTTGGTGGTACTTTCAGTGTTTCTAAAATACTCGTCGTTTTGAGTCAACTGTTAAAAAGATGCCTTTTCTTGTTTTCTTTTCTTTTTTTCCCCACTCTTAGCTCTTCCGAATTAACGAAGCCAATCAGCTCATGCAGTACGATCAGTGCTTAACGAAGGGGCCGGATGGGTCCAAGGTGCAGATAACACACTGTAACCAGAACGAGCACAGGGACTGGCAGTACTTCAAGGTAGGCAGCACTAAGACAAAAGGAATCGGAACTTGCATCCTGGCGTTTTTTCACCCATTTATTGTTTTTACATTATTTTATGTCTGTCTGAAAATGAAGCTGTAGGACAGGGTCAGACAGCAGATCTTTTTAATTCTGCCCTTTTCAGTTCTGCACACAGCCGTACTCTGCCTTTTTGTGCTGTCTCTGCCTCCTTCCGTGTTTTTCTCCCCCCGGTTCGTTAGCCCTTTGCTAATTACAGGCTGTGTTGTGAGCGCTGGGTGTGGTGCTGGGATTGCAAAACCCCTGAGCTGCTGATGCAGAGGAGGAATTTGGCTGCTGGGGGTGGCTCCTCCGTCCCTGCATCTGCGGCTCCTCCCGGCGGGTTCTGAAACACACCTAAGGTGGTATTTCTGTTTGGCTCTTAACAAAAATGAGACAGAGTAGTCCCAGGGTGACGTTGTCCTTGGACGTGGCCACTCAGCCCTTGGCTCCGTGTCTGAGAGACTCTGCTGGGGCGATTTTCCTTCCATGGGCATTTTTCCTTCCATCTAGTGTTTTGCACATTTATTAATCCCCTTAACACCATTTCCCCCCAGCTTTCCTCTGCGGTCAGGCAGCCAAATTCTTTACACCTGAAATTTACAAATCAATAATGTTTGTGTGCCACGTGGGTGAGCGGGATGCTGGTGCTGCTCGAGCTGGAGCAGAGCCTCGGTGGCCACCAGCAAAGCCCTGGGGCTTCAGTGGCCATCAGTAGAGCCTCAGTGGCCACCAGCAGAGCTTCAGGGCTTGGGTGGCCACCAGCAGAGCCTTGGTGGCAACTAGTAGAGCCTCGGTGGCCACCAGCAGAGCCCCAGGGGTTTTGGTGGCCACCAGCAGAACTGATAATACGAAGGCTGGGAAAGTAATGGTTTCACAAATAATAAAATGAGTAAAATCTGATCAATTCTGGGCCCCTAAGACCTGGTTTTTTTTAAAAAATGGCTGTATTACAGTTGTGAAGAAAATCCCCTAAGACCTGGTTTTTTTTTTTAAAAATGGCTGTATTACAGTTGTGAAGAAAAACGTTAAAAACCCCCAAGCACCCCAGCCAAGGCCCATTGCCCGTGGTTTTCTTTTGCAGAACCTGCACCGATTCACCCACATCCCGTCCGGGAAGTGCCTGGACCGCTCCGAGGTGCTCCACCAAGTCTTCATTTCCGACTGCGACTCCGGGAAAGCCTCGCAGAAGTGGGAAATGAACAACATCCTGAGCGTGTAGCTCTGGGGAGGCTGGGAAGGGGGGAATGGGACACACACCTTCCCACTGACCCCCCCCAATACCGTGACCGGACTGGAAAGCGCCTGGAAAACTGCTGCAATCATGGACTCCGTACGGCCGCCGGCTGGCATGAAGGACGTGGAGGAACTGTGATGATTATTAGGACAATAACATTATCATCCGCAGTTAATGTTTACAAAACTGCTTTACCTTAAACTCTGTAGATGTTTACATCTCTTTTTTTTTTTTTTTTTTTTCTTCTGGTTTTGGGTTTTTTTTTTTCTTTGGTTTTCAGTTGGTAAATTCCCAGGCTGTTAGCTGTGTCCCCCGGGAACGCGGCTAAAAGCCTCCTCCTCTTCTTTGGGATTACACTCAGGGCTCTGAAGGCAGTTTGTTTGTTTGTTTTCTTTTTTACACACACTTGAAAAGGTTGGAGTAAACCAGGTTTTTCACAGAAACTGGGGGATTGTCAACCTGTTGTATATTTTTTTTTTTATTTTTTTCTTTTTAATTTAATTTGACATCTTACTAAGCACTGCCACAGGTTTTACCAGCCAGGGTGGCCTTCTCTCACCGTCATGCTGCTTTTTTGGAAGGTGAATTTTGACATATTTAGTGCCTCTTTTTTCATTTCTCTCTTTTTCCCCCCGAGGAAAAGCGTTTGTTGGGAATTGACAGGACGGGCTTTCTGAGCTGTCACCGGGGGGGTAAGGACCGGCCGTGCCACCCCCCCTATCCCCCCCTGAGTAATTATTGTGTTGCCACAGAGGGATTTTGGTGGCCAGTTTGGCCCCTGGGCTGGGGCGGCCGCTGGGTGGGCGGGGTGAGGAGGAGCTGGTAGGATTTGGTGGAGAGAATGTCCCTCCCCATCCCGGCTGGGGACTCACACAGCACTGACCCCCTCGGTTAACCCATGCCTTACTCCAGGGTCATTTAAAAGGAAGGAAGAAAATAAAGCTGCACAATTATGTAAAACTTAGAAAGAAGCCAGTGCTTGGTTTATAGCGTTATTTTACATGGAAATCACTTGGAGGAGAACTAAAGCTTTTAATTAAGAGGAAAAAACTGTCCCGCTCCTGAGCACACCTGGGTGACTCTTTGCAGCTCCTTGGGCTGCCGGGTTCCGATCTGGAAAGGCATGAAAACCCTGAAACCGCCTTTATTCATAGCGATTTGCTTCTTGTTTTTGCCCCCGGAAACTCTTCCCGAGGGATGGGGAGAACAGGAGGGAACGGCGTGGAGTGACAGTGTCTGGAGCAGGGAAAGCCTGTCAGAAACCCCCCTCGCAGCAGAGATCCTGGCCCCGAATGAGCCGGGAGGGGGAATGATTTATCCCCACTCCTTAACTCCACATTTTATGACCATTAAATGCGAGGAAATACTTCCCCAAAATCAGGAGCAGCGACGCCTGCAGCTCCCGCGGGTGTTAACGAGGTGACCATTAAATGTGAGGAAATACTTCCCCGAAATCAGCAGTGACGCCTGCAGCTCCCGCGGGTGTTAACGAGGGGTCTCCCTCCTCTTTGGTGACAGTTTTGCTCTTTTTGGGGCTGTCTGCACTGATCCCTTAGTTCCGAATTCCTTTAAACTTTACCTATCCTTTCAGAGCGATGAAAAACAGAGGGAGAAACCAGGGAAAAAGTAAAAGCAAACAAACAAAAGGACACTGAGGGTGTGCTGCCGGTACTCGGTTGTGTTGGGGGTGGATTAATTTAACCGTACGACTATGCATAAGAGAGAGAGAATGGGTGAAAATGAGTATTTAGTGCAATTCCTGGGAAAGCTGATGCTGCGCCACCGGCGTCTCCCAGCTCCCGGGCCCGCGGGGAGCCGTGGCTGGAACAACCCTTTCCTGCTGTAGCTGGCTTGGAAAAAACAAAACTAAACAAACCCAACCAATAATCCCCATAGTCTTGCTTTGTAAGTGGATGATAATCTCACTATGCATTTCTACATATTTTATAAATTTGATTTATGCAGATTTTGATACACTGTACGTTTCTGTAGAAATTGTATAAATCTTTAAAAAAATTTATTAGGGATAAATCCGGGAAACCTATGTATATCTTACTTATTGGGTTGCTTGTTTTTTAGGTGAAGTAAATAAAATATTTGAATTTTTGGGTTTACTATACTTTTTACGGAGTAAAAACGGGTGGTTTTCTCCACAGAAACCCTCTATCTCTGAATCCAGACGACTTCAATGTTACAAACTGACAAATATTAAGAGTTTTGCTTTTTGTTTAGGTACCTGTTGTGCTCTCTGTGGCAGCGGCCGGTCCCTGGAGGGAAGAGGGGACGTGTCTCCTCGTCACCAGCCACCCCAGCGCCGGGAGGACCATCAGAGACGCTGTCCCCGTTGGTGGCATCCAGGGAGGAATTAATTTTTTCCCTAATTCCACCCAATCTCCGCGACCACTCCCTGCCTGTTCCTCACCATCTGTCTCCAAACCACATCTGGGATCCACTCACTGCTCTCAAACTGGACCGAGAAGCCCCAGATCTCCTAAACTACGCCTGAGATGTCAACGTTTGATGCTTCTCTCTGATCTGGGAGACTTTTCAGAAGAAAAAAGAAACCCACAAAAGGTGCTGTGCTGGATTCTGCTGTGCATCAAGCGTGATTTTTTTTCCCTTTAGGTTAAAAAAGAATCAAATTAAATAATTCTCCATTGCCATGTAACGTGGGGCCTGGTAAATGAAAAAAAAATAAGTTCTGTGCACAATCCTTAGGTTTTTTACATCACTGCGCTGCTCTGGCCAGTGGCTGGATGGAGGCTCTTCAGCAGGGCAGAGGTGGAGCTTCTTCTCTGAGGGATCTTGGTGGCCTGATGGAAAAGGCCCCTTCCTTCAGGTCCATGAAGGCGACGAGCACAGCCTGCGGGGAGGAGTTGGAGCTGCTCACACACCAAGAGGAAAAAGGTACATTTGCACTTTTCCCTTCTTTTTCTCACTAATAGACTTCCCTGAAAAGAAAGGCGATGGCTTTAGGGACAACAGCCAACTTCACTTCTGGCCGCTCGGCCACATGAGTGGTGTCTCCTGCAGCAGAAGGGAGCAGGGGGGTGGGAGAAGCAGCAGAGCAGTAGCCTGTATTTAAAACAAAAATCCCCAAAAAACCCCAAACTCATGCCTGAGATGAGGTGATGGCAACAGCAGCCCTGGGGCTGAGCATCCCAGGGTGGAAGGGGAAGGGGATAATGCCTGTCAGTGATGAGGGCTTGTTAATTCCCAAAGGAGTAATTAGTGCTAGGTCAGTGCCAGGGCCTCAGAGAGCCTTTTAGAAGGATGTGGTGTTGTCCACGCACACATCATCCCTTGGGTTCTGCAGGGGAACTGGTTCATGGCTGCCCCAGCAGGTGTTTGGGGCAGGGAACAGCCGTACAGCTGAGGTGGAACACCGGATTTGCTGGACAAAGAGTCTTCTGGTGGTTGACTCCATATTGGGTGGCCACCAGCAGGGCCTTGGGGGTTTTGGTGGCCACCAGCAGAGCCCCAAGGCTTTGGTGGCCATCACCAGAGCCTCAGGGCTTGGGTGGCCACCAGCAGAGCCTGAGGCTGGAGGGAAGAGTTGACTCCAGGCTATCAGGATAGAGCAATGTTGAGGTTCACTCACTAATTGGTGCCGGCCTGTGACAATTACTTAATTGCACTAATGAAGAGTCAAGCAGGATTGGTGACCATCCCTGAGCTGTGAGTACTAGATTATGTACCAATGTACCATATCACAAGGTGCCTGTGATATGCTGGTATGGAACAGTTCTATAGATTATTGAGTAATTAAAATTATTAAGTAATTGAAGACAAAACTCCAATTCCATTTTTTTTCTGATGTTTTTCTCCACACCCGTTTGCAATTTCTTTTACTATTTGAGTTGTAAAGCCTGACTGTAATTCAGTTCCCATGTCTAAAGCTGTTCTTCTGAGCAAGGTTTTCCTTTTGAAAACATCAAAAAGAAAAAAAAAAAAAAAAAAAAGACCAAAAAACCAGACCCAGGAAAGACAGAGACATTCTTCAGACCATGGGTATCACTGGGGAAAAAATCAGACCAGCTTTGCAAATAGGCTTCTGCTCAAGAAGTTGACATAAGAACAAGGAAACTTTATTTTCCATTGGGAAGGTGGTAACAAAATACTAAGTATTTGTTTTGTTCTTAGCTCTTTACCCAATAAGAGAGTAATAAATGGGTGTTTCTGGGTGATTTTCCTCTGCTGGTGAAACCGATGGCCAGTTCCTGTATTGATCCTGTGCTAAGAACCAGCTTCTTACTCCTGCAAGGTCTTCAGTGATGACTGACTTCTCTTAGGAGAAGCAGGTGAGGCCAAATTCAAGTAGACCAGAGCTCTTTAACATTCACAGGCATGGACTTCTCCAAAGAATCACCAAACCATGGAATGGTTTGGGTTGGAAGGGACCTTAAAGTCCTCCCCCTGCCCTGGGCAGGGACACCTCCCACCAGCCCAGGTTGCTCAAAGCTCTGGCCAACCTGGCCTTGAACCCCTCCAGGGATGGGGCAGCCTGTACCTGCAGGTCTGTGGAGCAGGCTGGATCTCGGCCACCTCTTGTCCTCCCAGCTCCCCCCCAGCCACAAGTTCCCGGTGAGTAATTTCATTAAGATTGTCCGTATTGAACTCAGATGTCAGAAACTAACTCAGCTTTTTCTACAACCTTATCTTTTCCCAACCTTCCTGCTGCACTTTGGCAGAAGTGGGGCTGGAGCTAAATGAGCCAATTAATGCTAGACAGAATTGAATCCCCAAGTCATTATACCTCACCCGGGAATACATCAGAAGAGCTTTATTCCCAGTTACCTCAATATGCGCTTATTCTGATGGGGTAAGTGAAATTCTGGAACCCGTGCAGCTTTCTGGGACACCTGAAGGGGTCTAGTTTGTTTCAATATAAAAGTACTTGGGCAGAATTTAAAAAAAAAAAAAAAAAAAAAAAATTCAAATAATCACTAAAACTAGTCAATTTGCTGTGATGCTACCGCTCCACCGGCAAAGAGGAAACCTGACCAGAAACGGCTGGAAACAGGTGAGACACACACACGAGGGCTGGACGCAGTCACTTCAGAAGTGGATGGGCAACAGGGAGACACTTTAAACATTTAAAAAAATAAATAAATAATTAAATCCAGTCAAAACTCCAGGAGTCAACACCACAGAGCTTCATCCTCCAGCACTCTGGGAGCACCCAGCCTCTGGGAAACACCAACAATAAAACGCTAGTCATGTACGACATTTTATTACAAAATTGTTTAAAAAAAGTAATACAATGCAATATACTACAAAATATAAGATCAGCTATTAAGCTACCTCCTTTGTTTTACTTTGCTATGGAGAAACACCTGGCTAACAGTCACTGAGTTTCAACAAAACCATTAAATACGCAGAAACATTCCACAACTCTTTCTTTTTTTCTCTAAAGGGAGCTGTGGCAGCCCCTGGGCTCCCCCTGACATCCCACAGGGGGTGTCCCTACCGAGAGCCACGCTCCCTGCCCACAGTTCTGTACAGAGTCCTATACTGAAGCTAACCACGAGCTGCACTCGAGTTCACATTCTTAGCAAAATATTGGATTTCGAGCATAAATCTTTACAGCAGGACATTCGTTCATTCCTCATCCTCCTCCTCTTCCTCCTCTTCGTCGTCTTCCTCTTCCTCCTCCTCCTCTTCTGGTTCTGCTTTCTTCTTAGATCCCGCAGGCCTACCTGGGCCCTTCTTCCCTGCGTCGCTCTTGCTCTTGGCACGATACGCTGCGATATCCTGCAAGAAAAACGCTGTTTAGTGGTGGGGAACAAAAGTCTGGAGACAAATCTATACTGATTTAATAACCGAATACTAATATATACCATGCAGATCTAATAGAATGTGTGTGCAAAAGTGGGGTTTCAGCCTTGGAATCTCCACGCTTAAACATTTTGGCAAGAGAACGCATGATCCAGTTTTAGGAATTTTAGGACTGCAGTGTTCTGGAGTATGGCCATTTATTTTTCAATCAGGTGCCCTGCTTTCTGGAAGGGAAGTGTTTCATTGGCAATATCTCTAGACGTGGATCCAAAGGGGGCCACCAAGAAAGGTGGAGAGATTTTTTTTTTACAAGGGCATCTTGTGGCAAGACAAGGGGTAATGGTTTGACACTGAAAGAGGGGAGACTGGGATGAGATCTCAGGGAGAACTTTGGTGTGAGGGTGGTGAGAGCCTGGCCCAGGTTGCCCAGAGAAGCTGTGGCTGCCCCATCCCTGGAGGGGTTCAAGGCCAGGTTGGAGGGGGCTTGGAGCAACCTGGTCTGGTAGGAGGTGTCCCTGCCCAGGGGGTGGCACTGGGGGGGCTGTAAGGTGCCTTCCAACCCAAACCCTTCTATGACTTAGAATTATGAACCATATGATAGTTTAGGTGCAAAACAGAAGTCACACATTTACAGTGACATCTGCACCTTTAACGCTTCTTTCACCACTTCCACTCTACCTTCTCGTATTTCTCCTTTAGCTTTGCAGCCTTCTGTTCGTACGGCTGTTTGTCTTTGGCCGACTGTTCAGACCACATCTCTCCTAACTTCTTCGCTGTATCTCCAATAGACAAGCCAGGATGTTCATTTTTGATTTTCGGGCGGTGTTCAGAGCAGAAAAGGAAGAACGCAGATCTAAAAGTGACAGACAGTGACAGTGATTCAAATTAAGTGTCAGACTAGTAGAATTAATACCTTATTATTGTTTTTTTGGTCACAGAAACACTCACGGTGGTCTTTTAGGAGCGTTGGGGTCCTTTTTCTTTCCCTTCTTCTCGCCTTTGGGAGGAACGTAGTTTTTCATCTCTCTGTCGTAACGCGCCTTGTCTCCTTTGGCCATTTCTTCAAACTTTGCTTTCTCCTTGCTGGACATGGTCTGCGGGAGGGGGAGAGGAGAGGAGCCCGGATCAGCTCAAACCCTGCCGGGGGGCCCGGACAGCCGGGCTAGCCCCCGTCCCCGCTCACCTTCCACCGCTCCGAGCACTTCCGCGAGAACTCGGCGAAGTTGACGGAGGAGTCCGGGTGTTTCTTCTTGTGCTCCTCCCGACAGGTCTGCACGAAGTAGGCGTAGGAGGACATCTTGCCCCGCGGCTTGTTGGGGTCGCCTTTACCCATGGCGAGCTCGGCGGCGGCTCCCTGAGGCGGGCCGAGGAGGAGGAGGAGGAGGAGAGTGAGGGCGGGCCGCGCCTCAGGGCTGGGGCCGCGCCTCAGGGCCGGGGCCGCCTTCCCGCCCGACCCGCCGCCTCAGCGCTGCCCGGCCGGGCCTCCCCCTCCCCTCAGCCGCGCGCCCCCTCAAAGACCGGCACCCCCCCGCTCCTTCCCGCCCTCCCGCGGCCCGGCCTTGCCTGGCAGCGGCGGCGACAACGACGACCTTCTTCCCTCCGCTGCTGCGGCTGCCGGCGAATGGAGCCCGGCGGCGCACTTACCGCCTCTTGTTCGCCACAGCCGCTCGGGCCCGCCGGCCCCGCCCACCGCCGCACCCCATTGGCTGCCGCCCCCGTTCAAACAGGCCACCGCCCCGCCTCCCGCGCACAGCGCCGCCGGGGATTGGCTGGCTGCGGCTCACACGTCACTCTCCCCCCCCGCCCCCCTTCCCCTCCTCTCTCCTCACCTCAACCGGTTCCAACGAGTACAAGAGCGGCGCGCGGGGCGGAGCGGGTGGGGGCGGGACTAAAGAGAGCTCTCGGGCGGCGATTGGCGGAGAGGGACGGTTTTAAAAAACCGCGGGGCCCCCCGCCATTGGCCGGCGGGGGAGGGCGCGCGTTCTGATTGGGCGGGGCGGCACGGCGTAGCGTGGTTTAAAAATACAAAGGGAGGCAGGAGGGCGCTGAGAGGAATCGGTCGGGGGCGGCGGGCGGCCTGCGGCGGCGCCGCAGACCGCCGCCGCAGACCGCCGCCGCCCCCCCTGGGGCTTCATCGAGCATCGTTTTGAGGTGAAAAAACGACGTTTCCCCCCAATAATTTAGTCAGGTTTGTGGGGATTTGGCACTCCGAACGCTCTCCCCCCACCCTTGCAGAATCACCTCAGAGCGCAGAGGAAGAAGCCAGGCCCGCAAGGTCGTTGTTTTCTTCCCTTCTGACGGGCAGTTTGCTAATATAGCAGTAAATACCGCCTTGGCTTTATGGTTTTAGCCCCAACTGCAGCCTGAAAAGATGTAAACAGTGAAAAATCTCTGGAGGGTAAGGTAGCGGTGAGGTGAGCTGAGGGAGAGAGGTGCCTTCCCTTTGCAGAGACCTTACTGTGGCCTGTCAGGGCTTAAAGGGGCTTTTAGGAAAGACGGGGACAGCCTTCCAGTCCCTCAAGGGGCTCCAGGAGAGATGGGGAGGGACTCTGGATCAGGGAGGGGAGCCATAGGACGAGGGGAAAGGGTTTGACACTGAAAGAGGGGAGATGGAGCTGAGCTGTGGGGAAGAACTTGTTTGGTGTGAGGGTGGTGAGAGCCTGGCCCAGGTTGGCCAGAGAAGCTGTGGCTGCCCCATCCCTGGAGGGGTTCAAGGGCAGGTTGGAGGGGGCTTGGAGCAACCTGGGCTGGTGGGAGGGGTCCCTGCCCAGGGCAGGGGTGGCACTGGGGGGGGCTGTAAGGTCTCTTCCCACCCAAACCAGTGGTTTTTATGTCAAAGCCTCTCAGAAGGCATTTTTGTGTCAGCTAACTCGTGTGGCTATTCCTTTCAACAGTGTTTGACCTCCAAACAAAGCTTAGACTTAATCTTCTAAAACAAACATTTACGCAGGGGATATTCCATGTTCTGGTTTTGACTCTTTATTACTGTCAACCATCCCGCTACTCAGCAGCTAATTCGCGTTCTCAGTTCTGTGGTACTGAGTTGTCTGAAGGCCCAGGGGTGGCTCAGCCCTGGAGAAAAGGATTTGGCTGAGGGGAGACCTTCTCTCTCCAACTCCCTGAAAGGAAGGGGTAGCCGGGGGGGGGCGGTCTCTTCTCCCAAGTCACAGGCGATGGGACAAGAGGAAATGGCTTCAAGTTGTGCCAGGGGAGGTTTAGCATGGATATAGGGAACAATTTTTTCACCCAAAGGGATGTCAAGCCTGAGCAGAGGCTGCCCAGGACAGTGGTGGAGTCACCATCCCTGGAGGTGTTTAAATGCCAGGCAGACGTGGTGCTGAGGGACAGGGGTCAGTGGTGGGTTTGGCAGTGCTGGGGTGATGGTTGGACTTGATGATCTTAAAGGTCTTTTCCAATCAAGATGATTCTATGTTTTAATTTGTTTTGTAGCTTTGAAAATGCCTGTTTCTTGGAAAGTGCTGTTTTGTTTGGTGAATTGAGCTGCCAGGTGGGTCCCTCCTTCACTTTGTGGTAAGCCACCTGTACATGACAGTTTCTTGCAGGGTGTTTTCTAGTTAATAAAGCACTTTTGTAACTGAAGGTAGAATCTCACAATACTAGTGCGTACTGGATGGATCATAGCACAGCCTTTGGCATCTCTAGTGTTGGACCCTTCCTTGTCCACCAGAATTAACCTATAGCTCTCCGTATCACACCATTCCAACACATCCATAAGCACCTTCTGCCCTGTTTACAGCCATATAAAAATGTAAGTTAACTCCATCAAACCCAGTTTCATCTCTGAATCCTGGCTGGTGCAGTTGAAAGGGCATTGAAGTAGTCCACAAGTCTTCAGGAAACGGAGTTTTCTCAATGTCAGTGCTTCTGAAATAGCATGTCTGGGAGTTTGATACAGAAAAGCTGTCGGGATGGCTACAGCCACCAAAAATGTTTTTTAACAGTTGAAAGGAGAGAAGAATTTTGCGCATTTTACCTTTCCAGATCTGCTCTGTCAGTTCTTGAGCAACAACAACAAAAGCTTTATATAAGTTTATAGCTTTATACGTTTATATAAAGCTTTATATAAGTTTGTTATTAACGTATTTTTACTGTTCCTTTAAACATTAATATAGCCAGTTCATGGAAAAAAAATACTTTGGAACAGTCTTTGGAAATTATGGGATATGACTGCAGAGGGACTTCCCCTGTTGCATCTGTTTTCATCTCTGCTGTAAGAATGTGAAGAAAGTGATTGTGGAAGAGCAGGTAGGGTGAGAAAGTGTAATTACTGCTATGGGAAAAAAATGAGAACTGCCTTTTGAATGATTTAATCAAATGTTTTAAGAAAGACAAGTAATTTGCTCTTTGTTCCTTTAAAGAGATTATTTTCCTACATTCTCTTCTCTGAAAAAAGAAAGCTTTTTGTACAATGAAATGTGGGCAGTGAGGGTTATGTCGTGCGACGCAGGGCAGCGTAAGGGACCAAACAGTTGTGGTCTGTAACATCTGTCTGCCCTCCGACAAGGAAGGCAGTATGGAAGATTTTCCACGCTTGAAGGCGATGCTGGCAGCTTTTCCAGCAAGCTGAGAGAGTTGTCCTCGCGCCTGGAAAAGCCCTTCTTCTCCCTGTGCCTGGAAAAGTCCTTCTTCTCCCTACGCCTGATGCCACAACGAGCTGCCACCCTTTTCTCATTAGGGCACGATGCTGTTCCTGTGCAGACGAAACCACAAACTCTGTCCCCAGAGATCCCCTGGCTGGTGCTCTCCTAAAATCTGGGATCGGCGCGGCACTGACTCCGGTGGGTCCGCGGGGCTCGTTTCTGAACCACATGTGGATGACAGTTGTGGGGAAGAAGCACAACCTCCAGGACGCGGAGCTCTACTTCTGCTCGATAATTCAGCTCGTGAAACGACTGTTAAGTTTTATAGCTCCCTGGCTCCCAGCCCTTTTGAGCTTCTCATCTGCTCCAACAAGGACAATTTGGGGTGCTATTGTCAGCTTCACTGAATCTGCAGTAAATGGCGTGCGAGGAGAGATAAGCAATGCTGTGACAGGAAACGCTGGAGACCAGGTGGGTGAGACCAGAGCTGAGAAATGGATTGGAAGAAAATTTTGAACAAAAGTGTGTGATGGAAGTGATACTACTTCACATTGTGCTACATCTCTGCGGGCAGCTCCTGCAGCTTTCCTGGGTGCCGGTGTCAGCGTGGACAAAGCCAGGGAAGAAAGTAACAAAAGCCCTTTTATTGGAATTAACGTTTCCCTCGGCGGATCCGTTGCAACAGATACCGTTCAGCTGAGGAAATTGCAAAGCACGGTTGCATGACCTTAACTCTGACCAAACTTTAATTTGGGCTAATTCAGTCTGTTAATTCAGTTTTAATTCAGTCAGTTGGATGAAAAAGCTCTGCTGCCTTTCCCCAGAGGCTCTGCTGTTACACAAATTCCTGTGTGGAATATCTGGCCTTAATGTAGCCCTAAAGGCAATAAAATTCAGCTTGGGAAGGTGATGGTTCTTGATTGATTACAGCTGAGAGGGGCTCTCTCACGGACTGGGAAGTGGGTGTTTCACCGGATGAATAATGAAAGTGAGTTACAGCTGCGCTTGGTTTTAACATCACCCGACTTCACTAATAGGAATGCAAGATGTTGAAAGGAAAAGCAAATACAGCTTTAATCAGCAATTTTTTGTTATAGAAAAAAAAATTTAAATCCATGAAATAAAAGAATTTTAATAGGTCACTCCTTTAAAAAGCCGCTTTTAATGCAAGTTACGAAGTCTGCAGACAGCAACTATGGTTTTTGGCCTATTTCATATAAACTAGAATACTTCTAGGATGAAAAGCAAACACCAGAACGACCTAGGCTACAGCTTACCTAAATTTTACTGTCATGTTCCAGTTACAAGCACTTACTTTCTTTGTACTTTGATAAAAACCACAGAACTGCAGCTGCCCAAAAAGTTTGCAAAGCTGATTTTTCTGTTGATATTTTAAATAGTTGCATTTAAGGCAATACATTAGAACTTTTCCCATTTTTTTCCTGTTGTTGTCTAACATGCAAATGATGTGTGTGTTATAAAAATGAAATATATGTACTCTTTAAACATTACAGGTTTATTCCATGGGCTACTGTAGAGCCTGCGTAACCAGTTGAGCAGCTGGCAGGCGAGGGGCGGCCACCTCACGAGAGGCTGGGTTAGGCTGAAAGCTCAGGAGCTCGTTCTGACTTTGTGTCCTGTACCAAATAGCTAAAAAAATACCACAAATCTCTCCCAGTACTGACGCAGTTAACGTTAGGAACACCGGTGGTTAGGGGCACACTAATTGTTAACTCCACTTTCTCAGCCTTCATTTGGCAAGAACTTTTCTTGCATTGGGTTTACAAGCTTCTGTTTATTTTTTTCTTAATATTTTTACTTTTCTGGTCCTAGACCTTGCTTTCACTTAGTTTCTTATTTACACACAAAGCAATGCTCATGTGATGTTTTCCCCTTGAGATCTTAATAGAGCTTGCTTGTATTTTGCTGTGCTGTTAATCCCTTTTTACAGGTGTGAGCAGAAAGCAGTGATTTGCTTTGTTCATGTTAATTTGCCTCGGTGTATACATTTCAGGCCAAGTACTACATCTGCCGAGGCTGGGAGAGTCTGGGGGGCAGGGACAGACGGAGAGAAACTTTTTTTTACCCATTTAAACCTGTTTCATGGTGTAAATTACAGCCGTCCACATTGTTAAGCCTCTCTAAGCTGCCTGTGAAACTAATCATAGAATCACAGAATGGTTTGGGTTGGAAGGGACATTGAAGACCATCCAGTGCCACCCCCTGCCCTGGGCAGGGACACCTCCCACCAGACCAGGTTGCTCCAAGCCCCCTCCAACCTGGCCTTGAACCCCTTCAGGGATGGGGCAGCCACAGCTTCTCTGGGCAACCTGGGCCAGGCTCTCACCACCCTCACACCAAACAAGTTCTTCCCCACATCTCAGCTCCATCTCCCCTCTTTCAGTGTCAAACCCTTCCTCCTCGTCCTAGGGCTCCCCTCCTGATCCAGAGTCCCTCCCCATCTCTCCTGGAGCTCCTTGAGGGACTGGAAGGGGCTCTAAGGTCTCCCTGGAGCTTTCTCCAGGCTGAACAAAAGCCTTCCAGCAGAAGGTCCTTTGGTGCTGTCCGATCGCGAGGGTGAAGGTGCAGAAAGCAGGAAGGGGCAGGTATTACAGACCTCTACAGCTTTTACAGTACAGGGGTTTATCAGCTCTAATCCCCTAACACCTAGATTATTCTTAAAATATAGCCTTTATTTTTGGACCCTGTTTACTGCTTTAAATCTTTTAGTAAAAGCCTGCATTATGTAAACTCTTGTCTACCCCTCGGCTCCATTGCAGGAGATGGAACACTTAAAAAAGGAACACTGGTTTTTGCTGGATTACTCTGAGGACTGGAAACACCAGGTTTGCACCAATATCGCTGGTTTGGTTAAAGGTAGGAAATTTTTTTTTTCCTCTATTAATTGAATCGTACACAGTAAGCTCTGTGTGTGCTAACAGAGATTAAGTTCTATCATACAATTAACTATCCCAAGTTACATTTTAACTGTCCTAGTGTAAAACATATAAAGAAGTGAAGTTTGCCAGTAAATCCCAATATTCTTGTGCTTTGGGCTCTGGGCTTTCAGACATTGGGACAATGAATTGGGAGGTAGAGGAGCAGGGAGGAGCATGGTGAATTGGTGGGATGGGGAAATCAGAGATTGGAAAATCAGAGAAAGGGGAGCGCAGGAGAAAGGATGAGGAATGCTGGTTTCTGATAAGGAAGGGGAGGTTTGGTGGCTGGGTTTTAACACAGCCAGCTGCTCTCCTTATCAGAGACACCAGGGCGGGAGGGGGAATTTGCAGAATTCTTCAGGTGTTCTAAAGGAATTTGTTTTTCATTGGAACAGTTACAATCCCAATGAAAGACAAACGTATAGCAATAGTTTTTCCTTGTTTTTCCATTTGCTAACACAGTTTCAGGTGCGACACGCCAGCCGGACACTGGGCACTGAGACACGTGGGGAAGGGAGCAGCTGTCCCCAGCTGAGCCTCGTGGCGTGAAGAGGCACACACTGTTACAAGCTGCGTTTCCTTTCTGAGGTTAATTACTAATAATACACCTGCAGTGCGCTATCAGTGGATCTGAGGTGATGTGTCCATCATCATTCTCCTCTGGGCAACCTGGGCCAGGCTCTCACCACCCTCACGGGAGAGAATTTTTCCCTGAGATCTCACCTCATCTCCCCTCTTTCAGTGTCAAACCCTTCCCCTTTCTCCCTAGGGCTCCCCTCCCTGATCCAGAGTCCCTCCCCATCTCTCCTGGAGCCCCCTGGAAGGGGCTCTAAGGTCTCCCTGGGGCCTTCTCTTCTCCAGGCTGAACCCCCCCAACTCTCTCAGCCTGTCCTCACAGCCAGCCCTCCCAGCATCTCCAGGGCCTCCTCTGGCCCCATGTCCTTCTGCTGTTGGTGGCCCCAGAGCTGGAGGCAGCACTTGGTGGGGGGGTGGTGTTCTCCCCAGAGGGGAGCAGAGGGGCAGAATCCCCCCCTGGCCCTGCTGGCCACGCTGCTGGGGGTGCAGCCTGGGGTGCAGGGGGTTTCTGGGCTGCCAGGGCAGGTTGCTGGGTCATAGAATCATGGAATGGTTTGGGTGGGAAGGGACCTTACAGCCCCCCCAGTGCCACCCCCTGCCCTGGGCAGGGACACCTCCCACCAGCCCAGGTTGCTCCAAGCCCCCTCCAACCTGGCCTTGAACCCCTCCAGGGATGGGGCAGCCACAGCTTCTCTGGGCAACCTGGGCCAGGCTCTCACCACCCTCACACCAAACAAGTTCTTCCTGAGATCTCACCTCAATCTCCCCTCTTTCATGTTGAGCTTCTCACCCCTCCAGCCCCCCCAAGCCCTCCCCAGCCCCTATCCATACGGGGCGGGGGTCATGCAATGTAACAAGAAACACAACGTTAAGGGACAAGGGACATGGTGGCCGTGAGGGACGCGGAGACCCGGGGGCTCCTCCGGCCAGGGAGAGGAGGCCTAAAATCGCAGGGAGTTCAGCGGGGCGATGGTGGGGGGAAAGCGGAGACGGGCGGGATGGCGATGGGGGGGGCGGAGGAGGCCGGGCGAACGGAGTAGCGGCGGGACGGCGGGAGAGAAGCTGAGGGATGGAGGCCGAGGGAGCGGAGCAACGGCGGGATGGCGGTCGGGGGAACGGAGGAGCGGCGGGATGGCAGCGGGTAAAGCGGCGGAGGAAGGCGGGATGGCGGCGGGGAGCGAAAGAGCTGCGGGAAGGATGGCGGGATGGCGGCGGGGAGCCGCTGAGGGCCGGCGGAGGAGGAGGAGGATCGGCGGGGGATGGCGGGAAGGAGCGGAGGGATGGCGGAGGAGGAGGAGCTGAGGGCCGGCGGCTCCTCCCGCCGCCCCGTCCCCGTCCCCCGCGCTGCATGGCGGTCGCCGTAGTCCGTGCGGGGACTGCATTTCCCGGGCGGCCCCGCGGCGGCGGGCCGGTTGCCGTTGTTGCATAGGAAACAGCTGAAGAGTCTCCACATGACAGGGGGGGAAGGAGGAGGAGGAGGAAGTGTGGAGACCCGCGGGCCGCCGTCCCGGGCAGCCATCCCTCCCGCCGCCGCCTCCCGCCGGCCATGAACGGCTTCGCCCCGGAGGAGGCGGCCGACCCCGTCGCCGCCACGGCGGGCAACGCGGGCTCGGCCGTGGAGGTGCCGCCGCCGCCTCCTCCTCCTCCTCCTCCTGCTCTCCCTCCTCCTCCTCCTGCTCTTCCTCCTCCTCCGCCACCTCCTCCTCCTCCTTCGGCGGCCGCCGTCGCTCCGGCGGGCGGCCCCGGGGCCGGTCAGCTGTGCTGCCTGCGTGAGGAGGGCGAGCGGTGCGGGCGGGCCGCCGGGAACGCCAGCTTCAGCAAGAGGATCCAGAAGAGCATCTCGCAGAAGAAGGTGAAGATCGAGCTGGACAAGAGCGTAAGTGGCCCCGGGGGACGGGCACCGGGACGGGGGGACGGCGTGGTTTTCCCGGGGCGGCGGGACCGCTCCGCCTCACGGCTCCCCCCCCCCCCCCCGGCCGGCCCCTCCCCCCCCCCCCCCCCCCCCCCGGCGGGGAGGGGGGG